ACATCGGTTTAGGAGCTAAACTGATCTGATTCCAAGCAAATATGTTTAACCCTCTTAATCCCAAGGTGCCGATATATTGACACCTTGGAATTACGCGGTTAAGAATGAGTTGAGCTCATCGTTAAACTGATTTGTGACATAACACAAAATGCAATTAGTTTATTTCCCTCTTAAACTAATTTTGAAAGATAAACTTGTTCAATAGGAAGTTTTTCTCCCTAAACGGATTCTTAAAAGTGGTTTAGCATGCTGTTTTGTCGTCGTGGACCTCAGTTTTCTAGTCTCCTCTTCTAGCGACGGTGGAAATGGAAACTAATGAAGATATAGAAGACTTGACATGATCCTGAAGTAACCTGCCAGGAGGACTATCAGAAATCGGCTCAATCTTCTTGAATCTTAATCTTCACTCTAGGTTAGAAGAGTAGATAAGGTTAGGCCGAAAGCAAAGCCCTGAATAATGGCAGTTCTCGCCTTAGGGCTATTCACGTCACTGGTATACACCTGCCCCGACTGCTGTGCTCCATTCAAGCTCTTGGTTTTATTCTAATGTTATGATATTATGTGAAGTATTACTTCCACATTTCGCAATCAATCGTTCAGAAGAAATTTCCCGTTAAATTGCGAAAGGGAATGCATGGGATGGGAATGAGACGAGCTGGATTCCGTACTGAAAAGTTCTAAGGGGTGCGACCGCAGTCAGAAGATATTTACGGAAATAGTTGACAAGGGTCTTTCACCCTTTTGATATGGCAATGAAAGTATTCGCTCTTCGTCAGACTTCCTCGTTCTGTGGTATTGTAATCCCAAATCGGAGGAAGAGCTTGTTAGTCAGGGTCATGGCAAACCACGTGATTTTCATGAGCACCATGAGGATTTTCTCCCGTTTCTTCCTTACTTCTTGTCCTTGCTGAGCGATTCATGAAGCGAATCCCGATGAACTTCTCGCAAACATTCGAGATACTCGACGACTGAAAAGATGACGCCAAACCGGGGCATTTTGGTCCCTCTGTCCCCCTTAGGAGTTACAGATTCCGTACTTCTGCACTGGATCACCTCCGTTTTTCGCAGGATCCTTTAGGAAACGAAACGAAAGTTTCTCTCCGTCGGCTCCAAAATCATCAGATGTGTCTGCAGGTGGCGACTGTAGAGGCGATTGGCATCTCCGAATGTTATGAACCTGGCAGCACCACAATCAAGCAGTGCAATCGTGCAAGCGCAATAGAATGGTACAACACAACAGATATGGCAAGAAAAAACTGATCGATGTGACATTTTTAACGGAGGCAAAGTAGAGATGAGAGAAAAGAGATTATATCAGTCAAGAAGAGTGTATATCAGTGACGTCATTGGCCTTCGAGCCCCACCCTCCGCTGGGATATAGCCCAACCTTGTCTATAGAGAAGATGTCGTAACAAGATGTCATCTCGTTACGACATTCGACATCTCGGTAACTTTCTTTTAACTTTTATGATATATAGAGGGGTTCAAATCACCGCAAAGATTACGCACCCCTAGAAACCTTTAAAATGCCGATTAAATGCGAGAGTAACGTCTGAGAAAAGTCACGCAAAAGTTGCGTTAAGAGTGTAACCTGCGTCTCAATGAAGACGAATTTGAAGGTTTCATTTTTCCAAGGACACCGTCGCTGACTTGGTGCGGACGATTGAACAGTAGCTGGCACATAATCATTCTCTTTCCATATGCACTCATATCGCCTTTAAATCGTGGATAAACCTGTTCACGGGAACTATTAATAATTTGATTTTCGGTGGTGCATGTCAAAGGGTGATATGCACCAGATCCGTTTAACTTTAAACTGATTTGGTTTCATAATGGGTGTCTACGGGAATAAGATTATCACCGTCAAACATATTTTCATAGAACACTATAGCGAGATCAGATTAGTTCATGTTAAACGGATCTGGTGCATGTCACTCAAAAATAAACACATTAAGCATGTTTTAGTTAATGTGCTTATCTCTTCTTTAAACGGAATCTAAGAAGGAATCTCTGAGTTTCCTTATTTTATTTTGGAATTCTCACAAAGATATTCAACCGATTGCCAGAGTACGAGGGTGGGCTGACAAGTAGTGAGCCTACCTATGAAGGAGGTATCTGTGTCATCTCCTTCATAGGTAGGTTCACTACTTGTCAGCCCACCCTCGTACATTCCTCACTTCGCTTGTGCGTTTTCAAAAGCCATCTGAGATAATAAAATTTAAATACTGTAAATATTCTTGTTTGCCAAACGGGCATTTCCAAAATTACTGAAATGACCCAGTTTGGAGTGCAGTTTTGGTGTCCTTACCTCTATCAATCTTGTTTTATTTGAATTAACCCAGAGCTGCCATTCCTTCAGGGGTGAAGTAAAGATAGTCATCTACAGGGTGACTCAAAAGTCCTTGGACATGATTGAAATAATAGGGAGGTTTGACTCGATTCCAATTTTTTTTTCCATTCAAGCATGAGGCACCACCTCTCTACTCCCTCCAAGTTTGACCCGGATTACTCTTCATGCAGGAGGCCAGAGACGCGATCATTTTTCACTACAAAAACGGACATTGGGCAAAGCAGATTGTGAAGCTGCTGAAAGTGCCTCGTTCCACGGTTTACAACGGTGGGTAAAACACCTCTGCACTTTGTTGCGCCGCAGGTCAAAATCAAAACTTCCTATTATTGAGAAAAGGTCTTAGAGAAGGTCTTACCCTGGTCCCAAGACCACTTCCATGGCAGAAGCTGGGTCTTCCAGCATGACTCAACCCCCAGCACACAAGGCTAAAAGCACAATCGAGTGGTGCCAAAAAAACTCCTGGCTTGATCACACCAGAAGAACGGCCTTCCAGCTCATCTGATCTGAATCCAATGGATTACAGCATTGGTCCTATTTGGAGGCAAAGGTCTGTGCAAAAGCCCACCGAATTTTGGTGGCTCTCAAACGTGATCTCAGGCGCTCACGGATGAAATGCCGGTCAAGCAGCTACGAAACACCGTGGATAATTTCCCTAAACGATTGAAGCGAGTTGAGGCCATCAAAGATGGCTATACAATACTCATTTTGTAGGGTTTTTTCAATACTATCTTTCCATTGGTGAAGCGTCGAAGGAGGTCGGAGTCGCAAGCGGTGTCCGTCAAGGTTCGGTCCTTGGACCGCTTCTGTTTTTGGTCTACATAAACGATTTGGATGTCGGCGTAGAGAGAAAGATAAGTAAATTCGCCGAAGACACCAAGATAGGTTTCACCCTAAGGGGGGAGGCGGATAGGGCAGAGCCGAGCGAGATTTAAGTCTGTTGGACGAGTGGAGCAAGAAATAGTTCATGAAAAGTAAGTGTAAAGTTCTCCACGTCGGACGAAACAACGGTAGGTCTCTCGACACGTTCGGCGATGTTAAATTTGGTGAGGCAAACGGAGAGAGAGATTTAGGAGTTTCTATCGACGAGGACCTCAAGTTTTCCTCGCACGCGCAAGCGACGGTGGCCAAATGCAATAGGATTCTAGGTTACATTCGTCGTACGGTTGCAAGTAGGACATCTCGCGTTATTCTTCCGTTGTATTCGGCGCTGATAAGACCCCAGTTGGAATATTGCATCCAGTTTTGGAGGCCTACAAATAAGGGCGATCTATTGGCGCTCGAGGGAGTACAGAGGAGGGCCACAAGAATGATTAAGGAGGTCACGGGACTATCATACGAGAAGCGTTTAGAAGTGTTGGGACTGTACTCGCTCGAGCGAAGGTTAAGGAGGGGCGATCTCATCCAGGCTTTCAAGATAATTAAAGGAATAGATAATGTCGAATGTGGTAGGTTTTTCCAGGTCGAGACAGGAATTCTTTACTTGCAGAGTGGTGAACGCGTGGAATGCGTTAGATGACGAAGTAGTGGCTGCCCCTTCTGTGACTATCTTTAAGAAGAAACTGGATGCTTTCATGGACAGGCAAAATGGTGGGGGGCAATGCTGACGTTAGGTACTAGACAGTAAGCAACTACGATAGTCAAAATCAAAAACAATACAAATAATACAAAAATATTTAGCTTTAAGGGGGTTAGGCATACCCTAAAATTAAGGAACGCTCGACCTCGACACGCGATATCGAAATGGGCGAAATCGCCTCTTGATATCACTAACTATCATGAATCTTAAACCAGAGTCCCTGATAATGCTTGTCATGTAGAAGAAGGCAGATTTAATTTATAAATGGGTAGGCACCTTTCATGGGGGCAATCATTATCAATGGAAGGAACATGGATATTATGCATATCCAGAGCAAAATTTTTCCCCTTCCGCTATAATCTCAGGAAAGGATGAGAAGAAGACTGATTTGCTTCTCCTTTTCAGTATCAGGATTGAGGGGGGGGGAATGAGGGCAAGGGAGTGAGACTGAAAAAATATTTTTCTTCAGGAGTACACATTTCAGAAAGTAATAAAAATTATCATATTCTCCAAGAACTTTTGTACTCCATCACTTATCCCTAAGAAGTCTAGATGAACCAGGTAAAAATGACTGAAATGAATGAAAAAAAAAAGACTGCATCTGTATTAATGAGATCAATGAATGAAGTTGTTTGGATTAAATGAAGAGTTTTTGCAGGCTCTATGAGGTTTTGATGAGATTGTTATGACCATATTAAGATAAGCATGAGAATATTGACATCTGCATGAACTAGACATGACACAGAATGTGATGTTTGCAGTCCTTCAGTTCTCAAACTCACCTTTAAATTATGCACAGTAAAAATAAAGAACTGAAGATTTGAAATAAAGAACTAAGCAAGTAAAAAAGAAACCATTATCAATCCCAATAGAAGCATCATCCTGTTTCTTAGCATATACCTTGGCTGCACATCTATATAGGTCTACTTTCAAAACAACCATTTCACAGCTTCTGAGGCAGTAGGAATGAGTTGAGATGCCATTTTTTCTTAGGATCCCTCCAGATGCTCATTAATTTGAATTCACAAAAACAAAAAAGCATTCCATGTAACTGGAAATTTCATATATTCAGATGCCCATGCCTTTGGAATAAAATAGTTCATATCAGAATGACCAAAAGTCACAAATTCAAAGGGATACAAAATCACAGGTTAGATAAATGAGACCTTGAAACCGCGAGGAATGGTGAAAAAAGAATAATTATCAGATCACAGCCAACATATTCCTCCAATGCCCAAAGATATGGTTGATTCCACCATGTTCTGTGCTCCATGAACAAAATCTGAGTAACTGTGGTGCAGTTATTGACTTCCCCCCTAGCAGAACATCATGCAGTTGGGTCCTTTTTCATCATCTCAAAATCATGAGTCATCATGTCTGCCACCAGGTCCTTCAAAAAGAAAATTATTGGGAGATATTGCAAAGTTATATGTAGGCCTAAACTTAAGGATCATCATTCATTTAGGACTGATTTGCATATAAAATATTTGGAGCCTACTCACTTTGAAAGTTCTAGATGGTTTCCAGTTGAACTTCTCTCTAGCCTTTGATGCATCTCCAAGGAGGAAGTCCTATATTACAGGAAAGAGATACTCTTATCTATCAAGGCAGATTGTCAAATTTTTCATAGCCCACAGGAAATGAAAACAAACCACTTCTGTTGGTCGATAGAACTTTGAATCTACTGTGACTCTCACAATTTCTGAATCCTTCTCAATGCCAATTTCATCGATACCTTCTCCTTTCCATATGATTTCCTTTCCGATGAATCTAAAAGCTTCTTCAACAAATTCCCTGACACTATGTGCTTCTCCTGTAGCTATCACATAGTCATCTGGTTCATCTTGTTGAAGCATCATCCACATTGCCTGCAAAACAAGTTTCATTCTCAGTTCCCCAATAGAACAATGGAAAGATTGCTTGAATTCTCAAGTGAAAAACGAATGAATCAGACCTGGACATAGTCTTTGGCATGACCCCAATCTCTTTGGGCATTCAAATTGCCCAGAGCAAAGCTTTGCATTTGTCCAAGAGCAATTTTTGCCACAGATCGAGTGATCTTGCGTGTGACAAATGTCTCTCCTCTCCTTGGACTTTCATGGTTGAATAAAATCCCATTGCAAGCAAACATACCATATGCCTCTCTGTAGTTGATCACGATCCAGTGAGCAAACAACTTTGACACTCCTGTAAGACCAGCATACAAAATCAACATTCACTCTACAAGCCTGGTAGGCTTACCCATAAAGTTCAGTGCATAAATAGCACCTAATAAAGTCTGGGAAATAAAGCAAACAAAACATATACATTACCATATGGTGAACGAGGATAAAATGGGGTAGTTTCTCGCTGTGGGACCTCTTGCACTTTTCCAAAGAGTTCAGAAGTCGATGCTTGATAGAAGTGCACTTTTTTTTCCAGGCTACATGATTTGATGGCATCCAGCAACCTCAAGGCCCCCAGAGCATCAACATTGGCAGTATACTCTCCCATTTCAAATGACACCTAATGAAGGAAGAAGTCATGTCAACAGTTCAAAGATGAGACAATTACCATGACAGGAGTGTAGAAAGAGCAGGTGGTAAGCACCTTGACATGGCTCTGTGCTCCAAGATTATAGACCTCATCTGGCTGGGTTTGAGATATAATACTTGCAAGACAGCTCCCATCAGTTAGGTCCCCATAATGGAGCTTCATGAAACCTTCCTTGTGAGTTACTGCATCACCATAGAGATGATGAATTCGTCCTGTATTGAAGGAGCTTGATCTCCTTAGGATTCCATGAACTTCATAACCTTTGCTAAGCAGGAGCTCAGCAAGATATGATCCATCCTATAAAAAAAAGAAATCAGTGAAAGTCTCTTGAAATTGATATGCAGGTTTACCAGAATGAAGCAGAAATTAAGTTTGAGCAGACAAGCAAAATCACAGAGAATATGTTTCAGAGAGCTACATGTCTGCTTTAAGAATGTCTTTGAAATCAAATTAGCATTATGTGTCATAGATGTTTTGAAAGACATGATAGTCTCGAGTGTCTGCTGTGCAGTGGACAGCACCACCACCGCTCTAGTGCATCATAGCATCACTGGTGCTGTGTGACTGGTGTGATGCTCTGGTGTTACCATTGGCACAGTGCCATTCACTGCACAACAGACACTCAAAACTATAATGCAATTCAAAACACATCTATGAAGCATATGGTTCAAGAGGAGAATGATCTAAACTATGCATCCTAAGATGAGGGTCCTGATGCATGGGAAGATCAAACATGAGCAATGAAATCCTCTCCATAGTAATCTTCCAGATACAGTATGCAAGGAAACAAATGGGAACTGTACCATGCCTCAAAAGCATATCCTTTGCATATGATTAGTAGATTATATATGAGTGATGACCACTGGGAAAGCTAATCCATGAACAAATGGAAACATACTGTGAATATGCCATCTTAAGATCATGATACACAATAGCTCACAATGGGCATGAGTTACATAATGCTTGATCATCTCTTATTAGTCATGGGTGCTACATGAATGCTTTGGATTTCACCTGGCCTGCTATCCCAGAGATAAGGGCCACTTTTCTTTTGGAGTCACCAACATTCATGGTCTTCTTTCTTCACCTCAAATGGTGCCTTAAACTTTTCTTGATGTGAGGCTAGAAAAATGCACCAGGTGATACTCAGCTGAAGATAAGAAATCTGTGCATGAAGTTTGGGGGAGAAAAAATCATTTATATGATGGTTCCTTTACACAACTTTGGATGGTAGCTATGGTATATCTAATTGATGGGAAACTTCAGGGAACTATAGAGGAATTTCCTATCCTACTTCCCATCAAAAACTAATGACAAACATAAATGTGCTATTTTCAGATTGAATTCAACTCCCCCCCCAAAAAGAACCTTCTATCAAATGCAGGCAGACATCTTCCACGTCTGGTTTTGTGCAAGTGGATCCTCCGAAAGTGGGGCCTCCTCCATATTTTAGAACTCAGGGGGGGATGAATTAATCTGAAAAGAGTGTACAATATATTCTATTCTATTCTATTCTATTCTATGCTACAAGTCAATGGCAAAGTGTTCGCAATTTGTGCCCAGATGGTGACCTTTGACTTTGACCTATGAATGAGGACTCTTACAGAGGTGTTGCTTTGAAGAATAATCATAGTTGAGCGCACTCTGAAACTGACCCCCAAGACTCTGCCCATAGCTAATATTTGGTCCATAGACCAAGGTTGACTATAGTAGAGTCAAATGTTAATTTTGCGAAATCAACACGATAACTGAGGTTGCTTTTATTGGCATTCCATTTCCATTTCCAAAACAGATGCTATATGCAACCCTAGTGTACATCAGTCATCCTACATTGGCTTCCTGCTAGTTTCTTGTTTGGTGGCATGCTCTTGATAGCATGGATGAAGCTGTCAAGATTTTTCCAAATTGTGGAAACAGATGAACTATAAAGTCCATGTTTGCGAGCGACAAAACATGGACTTCAGTTTGCGAGCTTTACTTCCTCCACTTTCTACCAAACTATGTACACTTTCTTATCAATTGTAAAGGCTTCCCTCTTTCACTTTTAACTGACAATGTAATTAATTTTGATGTGAAGGAAAAAATGTTTTATCCCACAAGATATTGCAAAAGAACAACTAAATAAAAAAGAAAAACAAGAAATGGAAAAAGGTGGGGATGGGAACAAACCAACCAATCAATATGAAGGGGTGGTTTAAACTTTTCTGGGGTTGACCTTCAAACAAGAAGCTGAACCTCTCATAATCAATAATGACCACTTTCAGCAAATCAAGATATCATCCATACAAATGCCACCCTGGTATTTATATGGAAGATACAAAGTTGAACCAAAGCACATGTAAGCTGTACATAATCATTCAGCAACAACATGACTATGGATGCTCCAAGAAACGGTACTTCAAATGAAAATGGAGAGTGGATACATGGCATCCATTGAAGGCAGAGTGATGGTCGCATGAAAGCACCCAGCAGGCATTAATTGAGATTCTCTTTTTCTGTCTGGCAGGGGAATGGCCATTTTGTGGAGTATACCATGAACCTATCTTGGTATTGGTCGTAGAATGCCCAGTTAGGCCCATGTCTACAGGATGCATTATGCCACTAGCTCACAAAACACCAAGCCTAGCCAACCTTTGTCCAGAGGCTAACTTACACCCTAACGTTAGAGGTCTCTGAGTTAGGCCAACACACTTCGATGCTCCAAAGCTGCCGGTTCGGCCGGCCTGCTTACGTTAGAGGACAGGGAAAATCTGTGCTTCTCCCAACAGGAACGATATTTCAAGCTTCATTGCTGCCTTCATGCAAGTCAGCATGATATGTCAAAGGCGGCAATATGAAGCGGGCTTACTTTCAACGTTTTCTATAGTTAATGCAACCTGTAACACGTGGCTCAGCCGTGCCGGAAGAAAGGACTGTAGCATTGCCACGAGTAGTACGCACATTGGCGGCTATTACTTGATAAACTTGGCCATACTCTGTTTCTCAGCGAACTGCGGATCCACATCCCACTTCTCGCTTCAAGAAACGAGTAAGTAATGAAAATAAAGAGAAACGTGTCCAGTAGAAAAAAAAACAATTACTAATCAGTTGCGTAGCGTATGGAAGGGGGAGGAGCCCCCAACTCCAATTTACTCCGAACTCCTGGCTACGCCACTGTGACTGATGTGTGCTCTTTTTCGCTATTCATGCCATTTGACCACAGCGTCCACAGAACCACAACAAATTCCACATACTTTTACACCTGGAACACTTCAATACGTTACACCCAAGGATTTTCTTTGGGATCATGTAAAGCCAGCAGTACAGTAGCGTGCCCAGAAAATCCCAACCGAGGGGCGTTGACGTACGAAAAATTGATAACCCACCCTGTATAATTACCCTAAATTAGAAAATAAATATTTTGAGAATCGAACCTGTAAATTGTGTAGCAGCAGGGCCAAGTAGGGCCGGATTAAGAAGTTGCGAGGCCCGGGGAAAGTGAATTCCTGGGGCTGGGCTCCCCCACTCCCCCCCGCTACTTAACGTAAATATATACAATACTTTTTTAACTTAACGTTTTTAATTTCCTTCGGGGGCCCCCTGGAAGAGTGGGGCCCGAGGCAACTGCCCCCTTTGCCCCCCCCCTACCCCTTTAAGCCAGCCCTGATCCCAAGGGGGGGGGTTATGACCCCCTATTCCCCCCCCTCCTTCCCCCCCTTGTGCACGCCACTGCAGCAGTATATGCTAGCAAACCAAACTATGCGAGCAAACGTGCTGAAATTGGAAACGAAACTTCGTGATGCTCTAGTAACTCAGGGGAACTGCAAAAGGCCATCTCAAGAAGCTATTCGTTGCCGACAGAAAGGAGTGCAATTGCTTGCGGTCATGTGACAGTTTCCTAATGATTATATATTCTCCAGGTCATACTTTTCCTTGAGAAAACAAATTTCTTCATCTTTGTCAAAACTTGCATCTATTCCCATTCGTGTGCTGGCGGTTGCAATGTTGTTTCACCACTCCAAATGGGGAGGGTCATTCTTTCAAGAGAGATCAAGTTCACATTTTTACCATGGCTGTATAGCCATGACATGGCAAATCTGACATTTCAAAGGAGGGCGAAACTTTCAGTTCTTGATAGCGTTTACCTCCCCACACTCATCTATGGTCACGAACTGTGGGCAATGACCGAAAGGATCGGGTCGCGGATACAAGCTGCCTCGATAAGGTTCTTGCGACGGGTGGTCGGTGTCACGTCGAGTGAAAGGATGCGGTGTGCCACCATAAGTGAGCATCTCCAGGTCTCGGAGCTACGCATTCGAATCGGAAGATCCCAAGCCCGTTGGTTCCAACACGCCTCCCACGTGCCTCCCGAGAGACTCCCAAAGAGAGAGTCTTCCAATATGAAATGATCGGCAAAAGACCGGTTGGTATGCCTCGTAAAAGGTAGACTACGTCACGAGAGATTCGGTAGGCCACCTGCCGAACTTGAATCGCGAACACTGCAAGATGCTCCTACGCCTACTCGAGACGCGATCTCCATAAAGTTTGTATAAACGGTTTTCGAAAATGTATGCATGTATTCAATGCAACTCTCTCAAAGGAATTGACATTTTAAGTTATCTGTTCCTTTAAAAAGTAGGATTGAAAGTCCGGATATCTAATCTTGGCAGCACAATGGGAAACTGCATAGATATCTTGTAATCAACACCAAAAATAAATCATGATACAATTTTAGAGCATCCAGGTGCCACACGTCGAATATTCCACGTTTTCGCAGATATTCCACTTCCATTCTTTTGATTCGGGGTTATTTCTGCTCAGTGAAGACGTACGCTTTAAGAAGATTCAGGAAATTTTGAGCTCTGATAATTGCGTGTTTCGCCTCTATTGGAAGCTGATATCTAACCATTTCTCGGTTCAAGCGAAAGCCAGAAAGAAGGTCCTACTTGCAGTGATGCTTTTCGCGAACGGTGAAGTCTTGACAGTTTCATATACTAGGTCGGAAATCGGAAACTGCTTTCCAAATCATAAACGGAATCTTTTAGGCTTTGAAATCGAGATTCCTAAAGGGTTCAAATCCTCTGAGAAACGGATACGGATTGATGATCGGGAAGCAGACGACCCAGGGGCATGAGCGTAAAGTTGATGGAAAAAATATGTGGGGGAGGGGGGCTGGCACGGAAACTGATATGCATTTCATGCGTCTTTTCCTTCTTACTTGTGCTTCTTTTTCTGAAAAGGAAAAAAAAGGGGGAGGGGGGGGGGGGTGACATCCTGGCCCTCCGACGTTACGGTTACGCCTTTGGGGACAGGAGGTTAGAGACCACAGAATGACCTCGAATCGTTAAACCTCCGAGTAGTTACGTACCATGCGGAATAGTGCAAAACGCATAAGAAAAAGATTACGTAAGTTATTATGTCTGTGAACCAAAGACATTGCGGCTGCCAAGCCATCTGGCACTCCACATGGCGGAAGAGAAATAGCCCGTCCTCTCCCTGTGTACGAAGATGCGGCCATCCACCTTTGGTGGGAAACCATAAACTATTCCAAGGGACATGTTGAAATTGTACTTAGGATCAGAAAAAAAAACGCCTGGAACTTGTTGCTGTTATATACTGTTTTATTATTCAATGCTGTTAACAGAACCGCTGTCAGTAATAACTGGTAGTGGTTCTATTAACAGCACTGGGTAGTGGACTAATTATTTTCTTCTCCTGAAGGACTTTCGAATTGCTAATTGGAATTGTTTACCACTAAAAATTGTTCCCTTAACCAACTGACAAGCAGTCTTTGCAAGGTCGTAACAAGGTCGATTTAACATAACGAAGTTTCATTGGCAAAATTCTGCGCAATACCTCACGTTTGCCTTGCAAGAAAGCAAGAATACAATTGTCACAGAATCGAATGACGTTGCAGGCCTTTCTTTTTAGCTTTTCATTCTGGGTATCCACTAGGGGGGGGGGGGGCAAACCCAAGCCCGTAGTCATGGGAGACGTGATATTTTGTGGGGCCTAAATTTTCGTACCTTTTTCTCATGAGTAGTTTTTAATTTATTTATTTACTTTCTTTTACGGGACAGGCTGCTTGTATTAATTTCATTCCAAAAGAAAATTACTCTCCTATTGCAGGAAAGTGTAATGTAGACTCTATGATGGGAAGGGAATAGGGATTGCTTTACATCATAGTAGCACCATTCCAGGCTTCTTGTCCAGCTTGTGAGAAATCCGTGGGATTCTGCCGGTGACATGGATCCTTTGCGACAGAAAGTAGTGCTTTTCAAAACACTCTTTTCGAATGTTGGCATACGCTGTAATCCTTTTGGTCCAGTCCACTGCACGAAACGACCCAATTTCTTAATTCATGCGCTCTTAGTTGCGTGGGGCAAGGAGAAGGGTTGGGAGATCGGAATAAATATCCACTAAATCCGGGGCCCCAGGGCCCCGGATACGCGCTCTGATAATTGCTTCAGATGGAAAAATAAAGGTTGGTAGTTTGATGTTGAACTGAGAGGAGATAATTAGAAAGCAACCAAGTTCTTATCGCAGATCCTAATTAAGACATGCAATTAAGATTGCATGTTCCACTGGCAATGCCAACCTGTGCAACATAGCGTTTCGACCGCCATTCGTCCATCCAGTACGGCTAATGCGTCATGTCCTTGCGATTGGGAATGTGACTTGCGATTGCACTGGGAATGAAGCTTTCAATGAAGTGCATCTTCCTGCAGAATTGAGCATGACTCCGTTTGTTTTGTTTTGTTGTCGCTTAAAGTTCAAACACTGCTAAACCTCGTGTCGATTGGCCGGACTGATATTGAATATACGTTTGGCATATTGAGATTAAACTGTCCGGATACCAATCCGAAGTTGAGTTTTGATACAGAAACATCATGCTCTCGTGTGACAGATATGTCTATTACGGGAAACATTCCAGGAAACTTCATGAATCTGCATAATTTCCTTGCGGAGACTGCAGTGAATCGATACTACAGTATTATGAACAGGGCCGCCCAGAGGTTTCGAGGGGCCCGGGGCAAAACTAAACCGGAGACCCCTTGGGGGCCCTCTGGAGGTCCTCCTTGGGACCCCTTGATACGCGGGGCCCGGGGCAGATTGCCCTTTTTACCCCCCCCTCTGGGCGGCCCCGATTCTGAAATTTTGTCTCTGAAGTGAGAAAATTGTTTCGTAATAACTTCTAATTTGGAAAGTTTTAAGGAAGTATTAGCAGGAGTCGAGGGATTATGACAATCCCATACGATAACGATAGGTGGAAAAAAATACTAAATAAAGCCTTTTTCATTTTTTTATGCAAGGAACGTCACTATGACTAGCATGTCTGCGATACGGTTCGGTGCAAATATACCCACCTATTCATTCTTAGACTGAGTCTAGAAAATAAATGCCTGCAAACAGCACCTCTTTCAAAATAACCCCATCCCGATTAGTAAGTAAGTCAGTTACATGTTCACTCACTCATTGTCTATCACTCACCGGGAAAAGGCGAGAAACAGTTTGGGAAGCTTTTTTCCCGTGTAAGATGCAAGGTCCCGGGATTGATATGCTGTGGAGATTCTGTTTTCTGCGACTAAGTGGCAGAAAGGTATATTTTTTGTGCCGTAAGGTGGTCGATTATATACGTATCCGTGCGGTATGCCCTACAACAGGGAGAGAGGGAGAGGACGAGAAGTTATGGCAGCTCTCCAGGTTTCTGTTTATTCTCCAGTCTGTTTCCATAGGATCTCGGGACTCTCTTACCTCAGTCGCACAACCTATGGTACGGAAAAGAAGGATTTTCCGCGGCAACTTTCCAGAAATGTCACCGGTGAAAGACCAATTATAGAAATACCCTACGCTCTCATCGGAGTCTGTTATGTGCTCTGTTGGGAGCTTGTGGGGGATCCGAAGGAAAGTCTTTGAGTGAGATAGAGAGGAGGACGATTGACGTGAGGAGAGAAGGCGATCACCTCTACCCAAGTCTTCCAGCGGGAATGAAAGGCAAGAGATGGGAATGGCCTGTCCCACGGAGGACAGCAAAGGGAATGGGAAGTGACACGGCACAGCTTGGCGAGAGGGATGAGGAAGGAAAGGAGAGAAAAAAAATCTCGTTATCAGAGGGACAGGACTGACGTTGCCTCTTCCCATCCTTCATCTCATTTTCTCACACTTTGTGGATGGAGGAGCGGGAGGAAGAGAGAGACATTTTTGATCGGGGCTTTCGCACCCGGGTACAGGTAGCCAGGAATGTGGGCTTGGACATATGCCAGTGCAAGCCCGCCGTCATGTCGCCTTCCACTCGTACCCCCTATCACGCATTGCACCTGCGTCGATAAGGCTATAAGTTCTTCGCCCATATCGTTGATGGTCGAGTAAAGATACAGACATACGGAAGGGTATGAAGCAATCCTGGATACACAGGACTCGGGAGATGGGTCTCTGGACTTGGGATGCCATTGTGTGCTGCCTTTCCGCTTTGGTGCCTCATCCCTCTTCCTGTGACAACCACCAAAGAATGAAATTGACAGGATAACCGAAGGAACAATACGCCAGCGTGGGCAGTGAAACCGCTTTGTTCTCTTCAGTCAGCTGCCCTGCCCTTGTCTGAATATCAAGATCTCCGTTTCTTCTCTTTCTTAGGCTCTCCTTTCGGATATCTTTAGTCATAAGGCGCTAGTCTTCGTGCTCTGGCTTCGTTCCAAGGAGTTCTTGTTTCTCTTCCTCACAGAGATACCTGGACACTGACACTCTGGACCTAACTCAAGAAGAGGACAGGCATTTCATCCTCCAGATTGCTCTCAAGTGCGCTGATATCTGTAATCCCTGTCGACCTTGGGACATCTCCAGAATATGGAGTTATAAGGTACGGCAAATTAACAAAGGTTTGCTCACCAAAAAAATCACTGCTGTGGCAAAGCGCGGAAAACATGTCATTTTTATTGAAGTCTGTGCATGTTGAGACGGAAAAAAAAGAGGAAGAAAAAAACTCTCTCCATGAAATGTGATATCTTTCCTAAGGGAAATGTCGTGGGTTCAAAACATTTTCTTTTTAGGGATTCTGCCAGTATCACGATTAGGTGCAACGTGTGGTTTTAACGTTTTTACTACGCTGTTTCTTATTGAGTTCAGAAAATTCTTTCTTTCCTCGCGTACAAAAATAAGTCAGGATCAATAAGGTTTTTAGATTATTACAGCTCACTTCCTGTCGCTGAACTTTCAAACCATTGGAAATTGTGATGACATTTTTGTGCCTCAAGCTTCCTATCAGGCGACCAGGAACTTGGTTCAGTGCAGTCTCTAAAACTTCGAGTGAAATTCAGGCCAGCATTGGAAAACTGTCAGCAAAACTCTCAGAGCACATATATTGTCCACAGCTTTGTACGGTACACAGTGAATGTTCTGGACCATTAAAACTCAAAATTTTTTCCACCTTTACGGAGTCTTACATTTTAGGAGTAACGCGTCAAAAACTTAAGTTAACAACTTCTCGAAGGAGAACTTCTTGAAAGCATTTTATTCATCCAATGTACAAGGCCTCAACTAGGCAGACTACCAATAAAGAGTGAATTTCAGCTTAGATATGAAGGTCTGCAAGGCAAAGTAGTCTATCTGCAAAAAAAATTCCGAAAAAAGTGTTGTGGGTTTTTTGCTCATAGAACCATGTTCCTTTCATAGAAAATTATAGTTTTTTGGAATTAAGTAATGGATGAAGTGATCTATCGATACAAACCTTTTTCCCCCTCACTTTTAACATGATGATCACTGGAATGTTCACGCATTCCGTGTGGAGCTTCAGGAAATAATTTTTAGCAGATAGACCACTTTGCCTTTCAGCCCTTCATATCTACGACGGTTTGACTCTGATGATAGCTTCCGTTATTCTCCCGTTGTATGCAGCATTGGTAAGACCCCACTGCATTCCATATTGCGTTCAACTCCGGATACCTGCAAACAAAAGAGATGTAATGACGCACTCGGAGGTTCAGAGGCGGGCTATGAAAATGATTAAGGGGTACGAGGACTTCCATATGAAAAGCGTCTTGAAAAGTTGGGACTATCCAACTCGCTCGAGAGAAGGTTAACGAGGTGATACCTCTTTCAGGCCTTCCAGATCATTAACTCTTTGGCAGGTACGCACTGATGTATCGGGGAAAATGGCTGATTTTTCAACATGATCACTTTTAACCAATAAATTGCTCTGATACTTAGCTTCCATTCCGCATTGTTTCCATTACTCCACCTTTTTTTTAATTCCGGCAGCAAACCATTCTTCAGGAGTAGCTTTCATCCACTGGCTTATGGCCGATCCTTGACGCATTTTCTATTTCTATGCAATACGTTTTTCATTTTTGCGAATTGATGACGCATTTTATGAACTATGAGGTGAGTGGGGTAGAATATCCAGCCAAGGTTACCCTGATGGTAACATGGGCGATATGAGAGTGAGACTGTCTCACTGCAGCTCCACTCCCTCAACAAGGCCACCCCGTTTTCAATTTGGCTTACTCGAGCTTGCTTTTCAATAGTTGGTAACTATTACGATGAATTTCTGAATATATAGATATTAATTTCTTGATATGAGTCAAGAACTGCCCCTGCATAAGCCAGTGGGTGAAAGTTACTCCTGAAGTACGGTTTTACTGCAGGAATTCTTAATCCAGTGAAGCGATGGAAGAAGTAATGAATAAGAGTGATTACGTTAAAAAGGTGGAAGTGGAGTATATTTCCAATGTTCAGTTGCATGCGGGATATTTTCGAAATGCCCAGGAACATTTCAACCTTTTCTCGTAGAATGAGAATTCACCGCTCTTGATGTCTCTTGCTTTCCTATTGTCTGCTAAATGCTAGAGGACTTTCCCTGCCCTAGCTCATTTAATCCACTCTGGAGAACCTGAATGTACCATCGGTTTAAACCTTTTTTTTCTTTGAATGGTCACCATCATGAGGTCCATTCATTCGTGTAATTGTTTTCCCTTTCATGATGGAAGGAATCTTTGATGCCAGAAAGGAGTTCCTTCTTAAGACGAATTCGTCTATATTCTGAATAGTCGAGAAAAAGGACATGGGAACGAAGTGAAGCTAAATTTGATGAGGATGGATGGTTAAAGACGGCTAAAGAAAAGAAGAAATGAGACAAAACCTGCCTTTCTTGATATCCAGTTTTTGATGAAACTGCTCGGTACCCAATTTTGTAGACAATAGTTAATCCCTGTTAGGTAATTTCGATGGTGTTTTCATCCTGTTAGGTCTGTGATGAATTTTTCCGTCAAGGAGATTTCGAGAGAGATCTCAATTTACCTGTGACTACCCTGTGCGACAGGGAGAAGACCTCTGTTTCCAAAATTCAAGTCGGTAAGTTATTCATGCGATGGGTGCATCGATGGATATGAGGACTCGCTTTAAAAAAAAAATTATTTTGACGTATCTCTCACTCTTTCCCATCCAGGTTTCTTGCAATACGTGGTGTCTCCCCTGTTTGAGGAGTGGGACCGGTGTCTTCAAACGGCATTATCCCGTGATATGATGGAGTACTTACGAGAGAATCATGCTCGCTGGGATATCATGCTGCAAGAGGAGCAAGAAGAGACAAAGGCGAAGGAGCAGACGACTGTAGCTGAAACTCACATTCGAGTGGAAAGTGAGGAAGAGGAGGAAGAGGAGGACGAGCTGGCAACTCCTCCTGCAAAGCCTTTCGATCCCAATCGGTTGGGCTTGAGTCCAGAAGACATGCGGGTGTTGGTGGGAAGGCGGCATTCCATGCCTTTGAGCTGGCCACGTGTGTTATCTAGGACGACAATCGTGAGGCGGCGGGAAAGTCTCCCCGGTCGTGAAGAGGAGAGCCAGAAATCCCCTGGTACTGGCCCTGTGGTCTCCTTACGAGTGACTGAAGAATTCGAGAGCCAAAGCACTCTCTTCAGTCCCACCAGCCCCGTCCCCGTGGTTTCCGGTGACCTGATTGATCAGTCTCAGTCAGAATTGGGCGAGGATTCCACTGCAGACGAACTGTTGACCGAGCCGAGCATCGCCTTCATTACGAATACGAGAGCTGCTCGTAGGTTGTCGGTGGTGATGCACCAGAGCACTCTACCCGGGTCAGGCGCCTCCTCAGTCTCGGAACATGGGAGGTCCTCTAATCCCTCCGCTTCCGGGACTTCCTCTCCATCATCTGTGGTATCCCCGTTCCCGGGAAGTCGGCTCACGAGACAGCAGACTTTCCAAACCACTCAATGCCATCATTCAAGACCCAGGTTCTATTCGATGGTGAGTGGTGAGAAGGTGAACCTCAGCGCAGTGTCTTCCAGTGACGAAGAGAAACGAAATAGTGGAGCTCAGTTGTGTGAGGATGGGAAAGGCTGTGGGACCCCACCGCACACGGCGGAGCTGGTTTCTCTTCGGTTGGCAGAAGAATCAGAGAACCACGGTGCTCAATCCTCAAATACATTCCCCACAACGCTTAGTGTAGAACCTGATGCAGGGTCCTTGGCCTCAGCCGCGACCTCAGGTGTCTCTGTGCAGCAGAACCCATGCAACCCTAGAGATCCCCACGACCCCTCCTCGGTTGCTCAGAAGATACCAAAGGTTGCCAAAGTCATCACAAATAAGGAGAACAGAGACCCTTTATCACCGAATGGCTCAATCCCATGGACAGTATTTGTTTGGGAACCTGGGAGTGATGTGCCTTCCAACAACTGCACATCTGCCAGATCTGGAGATGTAAGCTGCTACTTTTGTTTGAGCATAATTTTATTTCTCCTGCAGGAAAAGAACATTCAAAATGCTTTATTATAAATACCCTGCAACGTGTCCTTGTAATGTGCGATTGGTAATATGTGAAGTTTCGCATATTATCAGGTGCATATTACATGCTTTCACGCTCTCACGCTGGCAATTGTCATGGTACCCTTGGAAGTAGGAAGTAGTACCAAATAGTTTTTGTTGCTCTAAAACAGCTTTGTTCCATCTTATTGACTCGCTTTGCTAGGACGAACTGCTGATGTGTTAGGATTATTATTGAAATGTTCATGAAGGATTTACATGTGGTCTTTCAGCAGAGTGTCAGTCCCAGTTCCAGTTCTCAGAGGCTCTCAAATAGACGAAGTTCAGCACCTGCTGTAACTGGTCTCATTCAGGACTCTGCTTCTTTCCTTGCCCAGAAGTTGCTTGGTGCTCTTCCCAGTAGGTTCTATTGGCATTTTCCGCTCCTTTATGATCATAGATTCAAGAAATTTGGTGTCCACCCCTCGCTCATATTGTTGCAATTGCTTAAAACAACTATGGAAGTCATTCTATATAAATTCATCTTTGAGCAGTGAAGGAGGAAGGAAATTTTAAGAAGGGAATGCTCTGTTTTGACACTATTTCGACATTGAGCGTTTATCCTTGAGAGTTGTATTAAAAGTACTTAGATAAGGAAAGTCACATAACCTTGATTGGCTGAGCTGCAACTGATATACAAGTACTCAAGTACTTTTTTAAAATCAAGAATAATCTCATTCTTTTGTAAAATATATGATAGGATGGGTGTTATCATATGGCTTTGTGAGAACTTCCTGTAAACAATTTGCTATCATATCTCAGTCATGCTCAAGGGGCATGAAACAACTGCTACTGTCTGGAGTTTTTATGTATTCCCTTTGTATCCTTATGGCATGAGAAATGAGTTCATTTTAAATTGGGTTTTCTTGAATTTTTTTTGGTCAGTCAGAGGTCATTCCTCGCAGCAGTTGACATGGAGGAAAATTCTGAATATTTTTTTTTTAGTCTTGTCAATATCTGTCTATTCAAATCAAATGATCACGAGAGGTCAGTCATGTGAAGGACACATCATTTCAGCATGTATGTCATCATCTCAATCAGATGGAGGATGTCCTATACATATTTTCATTTTGCTTCAGTCTTCTTCCTCTACTCAGAATGAAATTCGAAGTTGAGATATTACCCCTCATTTTGCCATATTTAATTCAGGCCAAAAAATGTGGAGCTTCACCTTTTTGAGTGTTTTATTTTAACTAAACCCAGAAATAATGAATTAGAAGCATGCACGATTTGTATGGATTTAGTGTTAGAGTGTGCTGCTTGCCTGAGATCAATCAAGTATGGTCTCTTCTCTCAATAGGAAGTGTTCATCCATTGAAGTCACAGGAGAATATGCCTATTGGAGATGAGTTGAAAGTGGGAGGATTATATCGCCGTGGATCCCTTCCACCACAGCTGATTCGGAGAAGCTCTGTCGCGGTTCTTGAGCCAACCATACCCTCTGGTTTGTTATATATTTTCTCATGAAGTATGAGTATAGCTGACAGAGCCTTATTTTGTGGTGAAACACATGGAGGCACATAGGAATGAGGCAATGTGCTGGAAGGCATATCAGAATCCAGTGGGTTCCCTTGCAGAGTCAGAGAGTGAGAATGGCCATGGTGCAGGGGTTCAGTCACAGCCACAGCAGATGTCTCCCTGTAGCACTGTGCACTTCAACCGCAGTCATACTGGCAGGTCATCTGGCAGATCATCCAGGAAGGCCAACCTCACATCTCACTTCCTTGGGAAAAAATGGCCTTTGAAAAGGAGGGCCTCTGAAGGTGCTGACATGGCAACCTGTGTGAAAAGTGAGTGAGTTTAGGGTTTTATGGAGACACATACCAAGATTATGAATTCAACTGTGTATGTACGGGGTGAATCATAAATAACTGATGTATTCGTCTCTTCTTTTATTTTAACAGGAATTGACAAAAGGTATCTGAAATCTATCAACTTGGAAGTTTTTTCCTACATCAAGCAAAGGCACCTTCATCATCAAGTCTTATAGTGATAGATTTCAAAATGTGCAGTCTGAAAGAAAACTGAGATTGACTGCTTGAGCTGAGATGACTGAGTATATTTGGTGGCACATATGAACACATTTAAGCAGGGGAATCTATTTTATGTAGTCCCATGTCCAGTCTGTCAGTCAATTTAACTAGAAACTATTTTGAGCTATTACAGTTCCTGTATTTGTCAAGTAGTTGATAAATAGGCCACTTGGCTTCATGGGATTAATGCCCAGACTCACATTATCCTCCTCGGAGAGAAAATGGATGGTTTTTTGCTTTTACTTTGAAGAGGTGTTAAGATGTCATCCTGAGACTTCAAACACTGTTCTGAAGAGGGGCATCAAAGGTTCTCCCCCAAATGGGGCAGTGACTAGTTTTATTGGCTGCTAATTGCAGGTTTTTTTGGATTATGCTCATGGTTGGTAATTGGTATGCTTTTTCAATACAAAAGGAGACTTCCTATTGCACTTAAATGTTTGTCTTTGCCTCAGGTAATTCAAGAGGTTGTGAAACTGGTCCAGTGAGGAGAGATTCTGAATCGTGGCTGTGTGTCCTTGGACAGCAGGATTTGGTGGCTATGTTTGCGAGCAATGAAGAACAAGAAGCCATATCATATACTCTCCACCCTTCCAACAAACTGCCTCAAAGACGGGGATCTGTACCTGTCACTCTCTGTCTTCTAGCTCATACAGGTATGCTCCTGACCTTTCTAGTGCAATCTTGTTTTAGAAGTTTTAATGTGTTTAGTCCTGTTCCTGTTTCCTACCTTCATGCAGTACTTGCAATGAATAACAGCTTATTAACACATTAATATCCAAGATACTTCTGTCATGATACCAAATCCTCACTGTGGGACTACTCTGTTGAAGATGGTTACATCACTTTTTCAATCTTAGGGCAAGATGGCATGAGTTCTGCATGAAACAGTGTCATCCTATGGGAGGTCTGAACCTTGTGGTTCTTTGTTAAGTGTATCTACAGTCACTCATGTGCCATAAAAGGACTAAAATGTTAAAGCATGAGTATTTGTGCTGAAGTATGTATGGGAGTAACCTAATTGTGCTGCTGTGTCTTCATCATATTCATACACCATCATATTCATGTTTTATACACCAGATGGATCATATTTTCCTATATTAAGTATCCTTACCAGTATCAGTAGTGAAAAGCTCTATTGAAGGATCCTGACCAAGGTAATAGTTCACATAGGCTTACACAGGAACTGACAGAGACAAGTCTGGAATGATGGGTATGTTTTTTTTTTTCAGATGATGCCAAATTCTCATGAGGAGACCTTCCTGCCTCTCTCTTCCTGCTTCAGTTTGTCTCTCTCAACCTCTCTGCTGGCTATGGGACATGAATCATGGTCACCCTAAGAGCTCCTTTATTCCTTTGATTTTCCCTCATCTTGAATGGATAAATCGTATTCACAAGTATGTGCACCCATACATGCAATTAAAGTATCCCACTTGACCCAGGGTGCCTCTGTGAACATGATTGGATGTCTTCCTGAGTTGTCCTGCTTTCCATAGATTGCTTCATGTCAAGAGAATTTTTTTGCTTTAGACATGTCAGCTGAGGAGTTGCACCAACAGTAATAATATTGACTCAGAGATATAGTGCATCCATTCAAACCCGGAGCTGTTGGATCACTGTGGTCCTTTGCAAATGACATTTTAATGAAAACAAAGAGGGCAGAAGGAATGAAGTCATTATCAGTTTCAGTTGTCTCCTGTCACAAGCAGACATCACAACCTAGAAGGAGCGAGGAAAAGGATCTCTGTCATCTATTTGAGATTGATGCTTACAGATATTTTCAGAGTTCTCACCCTGTGGGAGGACACTATCCTTTTGCACTCCTCCTCATTCCTTTTGCACTCCTGCTGGCCAATAATCACTAGCTTCTCCTTTGGACTTGAAGGTCTCCAAACGTTTTTATTGTCTTCTTTGCTTGCCTCTTCCAACCCCGGGTTAGAACAAATGCACTATGAGCAAGACTCATTCAGGCTGTTCATATAATTACTGTACAATTTCAGAAAATTGCTATTCTTGTATTCAAGGTGAATGAACAAACTTGGCAGGTGATTTGTGTATTTTGGGAAGTTTTTTTAAAACTGCCATACAAGTATAGTAAATCACAGTGCATGAAAAGTAATGGAAGAAAATTTAATGTATCAGCATTTCAGTCAGTGGTCAGCAACAGACCTTGTTTCAAGAAATTTCTTTTCAGATCATATATTGTAGCACAAGTTGGAGGCTCCTTGAATTCCCTTCTTAATTCTCATTACACCACCACTGAACCTTAAAATGCCACCATCCACTGAGCCAGTTTGATTTACTCTTGCAATATCTTACTGTCATACTGTCTGAGATGGATAGTAAAACAGATTTTTTCATGGTTTTCTGATTTAATTTTTTTTGTGCATTCTGTATCATGATTATGGTGATTAAAATTAAAATTTTAAAAGGACTTTGTATAATACCTGAATCACTTGCCATGTTTCATTTATTTACCTCAAATACAGAGAGGCAATTTTGAAACTGTATGGTAACGTTATGGATACTCTGCAGAATCATCAGCAGAGAATTCAGTCAATACTGCAATATGTTGACACAGAGTAATGCTGTCAAGAAAATAGCAAAATTGGAAGACTACTGACAAAAGCAGTGAAATAGAACTACTAGAATAATTCCAATTTAAGAAGTATCAGTCTGATACCCACTGTGAAAAGCATCTCATAAGAGGCTAGGAAGCCTCCTTGTTTCTCCCAAAATAGTGTTCAAAAATTCTGTTTGACTAGGTTCCATTTATGCTATGAAGTAATGTTATTTTTTAAGTTGAAGAATATTGGTACTGGCATGAGCTTCACTTTGGCTGGCTTATCCAGCTGAATATTGGAAAAACTTGATGTCTGACACACTTTGGTTCATGAATGATTGACTCTTGATTAGTTATGTTAGAATGTTAGGATCTATTTTGAAAGTATCAGTCTGAGTCTCATTTGTGCTGGATTTTGCAATGACATTTGGATCTTACACCAGGAACTTATGTTGACATTATCCTTGATACTCGTCCTTGTGGTCTGAATTTTGACTCTGCTCTTATCAATACTGCCCACCTCATTTTGTAATGGTTTTGGCCCTTATTAATGCTGGTAGTAATGATGGTTCCATGTGTTGATACAAGCTCAGTATCTTGGTCTTCTTCAGTCTGCCTTGACATGTTTTCTATCTTCACTTTATTACTGTCGGTGCCATTTTCTCATGACTAGGAGGTTGACACTTTCTCCTCACTTGTCCTAATTTTTTTCTTGGATATATGATGGGAGCTCAAGGTATGCTGCACAATTGTTGCCTTGGATGATGGTTGTGGACAACAGAAAACATTTGAGATCCTCTCAGTAGGCTTTCATGCATTCAACCGTTCCTGATACCCTCATCCATGTCAGCTTCAGTTCCTGAACACTTCATTGAATGGCCATTTTTTCATATCGCTTCACTTCTCAGCAGGAGACCCCAGTTCTTTATATGTGAGCCCAGGTGCTATACTAGGCAGCAAGTCAAGTTTCTTTTTAGAATGTATTCCCACACATTTTTCATATATTTCTGGTGACTGGTATCTGTTAAGTTATGTTCAGTCAGCAGTTAACTGTGTGATGGACACATGTGATAAAAGAGAAACTCTAAGTAGCAGGAAAAGTGGAAGTAATTCATTGTAGGGTAGAAGGCTAAAATTCATTCTTGCTTGTTCTTCAATATCTCTTTCAGACAATCTTCATGCATACCTGCATGGTCTCATGCAAGCTACATAATTGAGTGATCCTTGCATTCATGGACTAATTCTCCTAACCCAATTTTATATCATTTGCTTAGTTGTCCTTTTGTTTGAGTTAGGCAAGAATGGAAAGGATAATGCCTTTCTTTGCTGCTTCATAAGCAGCAGGTTACATTTTGCTGCGTTATGAAAGTCTGTGTGCTTGATAGAAAACTTAGCAGATTTAAAATTCAAGCCAGCTCTTGTTCTTGGTTTTGGATGTTTTGTTGACCTTGAGAATTGGAAGGGCCATCTGCAAAGTTTCTGGAGTAAATAAAAATATTCTTAGGAAATATAATCACATACAGGGTGGACACAAAAGGCTGGACAGATTTAAATAACTTTATATGGAAAGGAAATACAACAGGAGAATGAAACATGCATTGGATTATATAGTCTAGGATCTCGCTTTTTTCCTCAGCCCCCATGGGCCCCATGGATCACCTAAATTTATTCAAATTGACTTTTTTGTGTGGGGCCATGTAATATCAGGTTTAGAGAGAGAAAGTTAGAAAATTTGAGCTCACTAGAGAGAGAATTACTCAGAAAATTCAAGAAATGTCAAAAGGCTTCCTCATGCAATTCATGAATTCCAGAATCAATTGCTGATATTTACTGATAATGGAGGACATCATATAGAAATCTAGCCTAGATGCACCAAATACGATTTTAAAATGTATATCTCTGATTATTGACTATAATCCAATATATATCTTTCGTTATCCCACTATAATTCATTTCTGAAACGAATATTGAAATCCGTCCTGCCTTTTGTATCCACACTGTACATGACAGCCCTATTCGTTTTTCTTGTCTATTGCTGGGGCAATGAAATTTACTTTATTTACGCAGCATAGTTACTTGTTTTCCCCCTTAAGATTAAGGGGCATTCGGCTGTTACGTAATTTCTCCCTTTTGCATTTTCTCTTCCAGTCAACAAATAAAGTCAAAATATTCCTACCAACAAATGAGGCAAAACCTTGGTTTATATACCAAACTGTTCCATATAATTCCTCCTGTGATATATAACGATTTTCAGTTGCTGTACTTGTTCTGTTGTTGAAAAGAAGGAAACTTGTTTTTGCCATCGATTAAACAAAAATAAACAAAATGAAGTCAGAAGTTATGCTTTCCGTAGCCTCCATGCTAATTAGTGAAAATGAAATTGTCCGTCAATTTTACAATTGCCTCCTTGGTAGGATATAATATCTTATTTTAAGAAAACTACTTTCTGAAGAATTGGAGGCGCTTATTGTTCCCTCATAACAGTTAAGTTTTCTCTTAGAAATTGAATGCAAGGGTCTTCAAACAATGAGGAAAGCAATATCTGAACCTGTAATTATTGTATTGGCAATTATAAGGCGGTCTTCTGAGACTCATCATTCAGAAGTACATGGCACTGCATGTGATTGAAGCAATTCAGCTCAATTCTCATATAGCACATGGCCGCTAAGTGCGAAACAAGGTTTGGCTTACGATCATAATGTGATACTTTATGCTTTCGAACCGCGAAACTATGACTCCCCTGCATGGATTGGGAATGCTCAAGTTCAGAAGTCTGTGTTATGTATCACCTTTTATTAGATTTAGATCCCGTGGTCCCAGTTAGATTGGATTTAGTTTCTTTTTTTTTATCCATGGACTGGGACTGCTTCGATCACTCCAAGAGCTGTCAATCTAGAGCGAACAAAAGGAAAAACACAAGTTGTCTTCCTCAGGGAGAGTGGAATAAAGAGGTCAATGGGAAGGGAAGCCCTACCTATTTCTACTCCTCCTAAATTAAATCAAAATAAAAACTTTCAATAAAGATTTAATCTTAGTACGAAACTCAGATAGCACGATGTACCCTTTTTGATGTGTGCTGCTGACCTCTTTGTGGCCATCAGAATCTTATCGATGTACCACGTCCTTCCCCCCTTGGAATGATTGTCTATTCTGCTCTGGGTGAGATTCCACTTGAATTGTGGGAGATATGTTACGCTTCTGAGTCCAATACATGTATGATGTGGAAGGAGAGATGCATGCTTTTCTTTCGAGGCACACACTTCATCAAGACAGGAAGTGCTCTGAACTATAAGGTGCCAAAGGGAAGTGTGATTTTGGGTAATATCAAGAGCATTTGATAAATGAGGGTTTAGTCGTGTTTGAGACTTTGAGCTTTTGAGTCATTGCTCGAGCTCAGGCTCGAGCAAATTTCTCTTTTTGATGCAGGTGACTTTTTCCTGCCTATGATTTGTTTCATTTTCCGGGACGTAAAGGTAGAAAATTTATGAAGAAGTAAGAAATAGGCATTAGACCAGTCCTTTGCTGCGTCGAACGACAGAAGACGGAACCGCGGGCTCATTCTGCTGCACGTCATCCAATTGAAGACCGGAAGTACATTTTCATTCATTTGAACGTATGAATCCATTATGGACAAAATTGCATAGTTTCATCCTGTAGTATAATCTCAACAGATGCATTTTTAGAAGAGAAATGGAATACTATTGAGACCGTACAGAGGTGCTGAAAATAAATACATAATTTGAAATCAATCATAACAAGGCTAAGTTTTCCTTTCCTTTTCAAGACTCATATGTATCCTGAGCACCTACAACATAAACCTCAATGAACTGTCTCAATTGTTGTCTCAATGAACTATGATATTGAAGGAATGCGCGACTTTTTTATGTGGGGTAAGGTTTTTAATCATTTCAGTGTGGAATTATTTTCTGCCCGTTTTCCTCGGTTACTTTTGCATAAAAATATTAATGTTTCACCTGATGAATATACCTCTATATTCAGTATTTTTTCATGATAATACCAACTGTAAGTAGGCAACTAATCGCTTGTCCTGGTTACAATTGGGCTGACAACGCCTAGATGGATCCCCAGCTTCTGGAAAGTGACTCATTAATTAATTTAATGGCGAAACATTCTTTAAATAATTTTAAACTGTCTTTGGTCCCTGTGGGTCGAATGGCACGAGGGGAGCGAAAGGCTTAGGTTCATATTTATGCAAAAGCACTGGCTAGCTATGCTGAAACTCGAAATTCTCAATATATAAATATTGGCTTCGAGATGAAGTAGGTATTGCTTTTCCTCAGCGTGATATATTGCTGAGGAGAACCTTCTGGCACTTCTTGCATGTCGCCATCACATTTTCTCACTGATACCTCGATGGAGAATTTCTCGAGTGTCTGTGAGACATCCAGGTCTCCCACTCTTGCAATTGATCCCCAACACGACCCATTTTCAGTCGTCTCAATCTCTTGAATTACGAATTGGACAAGCATCACAGAACCATCACCCCTCAGATCGAATTTGGGAAAGAGATTTCTCAGAATTACTGAAAGAAAATGGGACTGGTTGAGGACGTACTTGAGCCTTGACCAAAAACCGCTTTCTTTCCCCTTCCTTCTTTTCCCAGGAATCCCTTGTGACCTTCCAGCATAGAGGGACTTACTTCATCAAGGAAACGTTTGGAGACATTGTACTTTCACCGCAATTGAACATGCAAATTCGTGCGTGTGTCATTCGAACGCTTGAATTGGGAAAACGAAAGGAAGCAGGAAAGGAGAAGCAGAAAGATGGGGAAAAGAAAAACGGAGTAAAGCCGCCACACACGTGGGAATTTTTTATACTTCATTGTTGTGCGGTCCGTCTCCATGCCTAAGCATGAGGCCCCTCTCACGCCGAAATCACCAAACATTTGGTGATGCTGCTGGTGAGTGGTCAATCTCGAGAGAAACAAACGTTTGTCGTCTGCTACCTACAATATATGGCGATGCATGAATTCATCATGGCTTTGGCTTCGATCTTCTCATTGAAACAGAAGGAAGGAGGCAGATGAAATAGTGAAAGTGGCCGGTGAGGCTATGGGTTGCAGTATCGAAAGTAGTAGATGGCCGCCACCGATCTACCGGCTATATTGGAACCGGGTACACACGTACATCAAGAAATTTGCAGGTTCTCATAGGCTTGTGTTTCTTCAGTCAGGAGGAGGAAGCAATGGAAGATTGAGGACGTACCACTCTTCAGAGATTCAATCTAAGAATGGAATAATCCATGGAATGTGCAATGCAAAGAACACAAAGAAGTGGACCTTATTAACTGCTAAATTGAGAGATAGGTTTAGGAGACGCCCATATGGAGGTTTCGGGTCCTAATGTGGTTTGTAAATTGATCTTTCTGGATGGGACCTACATACAGCAATCACCGGACCCCGGTTATGGAGCAACAGCCAAGAGACGTCCATTTCAATCCCCTCAAAATATTGGGTTGCAAGCAACATCCTGGTGATGGTCGTGCTACGATGCACCCTCTCACACGAGGTTATATCGAGTAGAAGGACGACAGAGCGACACGGTGCGGTTTGAAGTAGAACCGCAAGGACGCCACTATGTCCTTCATGCAAAAATACCCAACCTTCGTCGCACAATTTCCGCCTTCTTCGGGTGCTCTGCATAACACTCCCACTTTGCAAATGTGACAATGGAAATAACCCAACATGCAAGAGCCGCGCGTCACTCGTAAGCACAAATAGTTACGACTCCACCGATATCTGATGGTAGAATCAGTTCGGTAGTTTCTTCTTTTACTTTAGCTAAGTTAGGAGGTGTTCTTCGTTTTGCTATTTTTTCGTCCCCAGTAGCACTTCTTTTTGTCAACTAAATTGCTTCACAGGATCATATAGTGACAGGCGTTCAATGTCTTCATGCGCCGTGATCCGATACAAACAATGGATTAGAGAGATTTTCTGTGCACCTTCCCGTGCACAACCACAATATGCATTCCTTTTAGGTGTGAAGGAGAGGATAGACGTCTATCTCAGTTAAGCTCCCTCTGTTTCGTCCAGATACGAAGTGATCGCAATGCACACATCAAGAGCTGATGGAGGATAACCCCACAGAGAAACCTGCTGGAGCGTGTCCATCGAATATCACTCTTCAACATCGGTCAATACAGATGGGTTCTTGTCCGACGTTTGCAGTGTTTCCAACCAACACGGTTTACAAGGGTTCTTCTCAGAACACCATACTGCTTTCTTAAAGCTGGACCAATTTATTTGTCAAGTGTCTTACTATTTTTGTTCTGGTATGAACGACCACCAGCCTTTGGCACGAGGTACTAGTACGACACGGTACGGGGCATTTTGTCTCACTTTCTGATCAACAAACTGATACCCGAAAGCACAGGATTAGAAAAAGCAAAATGGTGGAAATAAAAGCTAAAACCTTACCTGGCTTAGTTAATCCGGCATAGTGAAATTACCCCGTTTCACAGTTACTTCTTTAGGAAAGTAAGAGGTTAAAACCGAGAAATTTCTGCCACAACTGCAAGTCTTACACAGAGAGAGGATTCAGTACTGTTCTGGCATGCAATATTAAAACTATGATGACATTTCCAAAAAATTATTCAAAGACGCTTTCTCCTTCACGTTTGTCCTGCTTTCGAGAATTTGGAAATAACAACTAACATGTAATGTCAGGGCCACCTACTGTGGCGGCCCTGCATGAAATCCTGCGAATAAAATACAGTATTGTCTACTGTATTACAAGGAGCCTTCGATGATCAGAAATAGGAAGAGAAACGTCATGGGCGTGACACGAGTAGCACGGATCCCATGATCAGATACTGCCGTTTCACCTTCCATGATGTACAGCTCATTGACATACATGAGATGTGACAGGTAGGACGTCTGTATGCCTCACAAATCGGGATGTCCCTCGGCCGTCCCAGACGAAGAGTAAGACCTTTGCGGGATGAAATTGATGGATAGTCAAAGGACTTCCCTTCCCTTCACAAGCCCTTGTGAATTCTTCAGGAGAATTTCAATTTAACACGGCTACTGCTCTGCGACCCACCATTGGATTATTTTCATTCCGCGGTCAAAAGTCCGCGTTTGCTGCGAATAGATTTCTATCCATTAACACTTACGGTGCGGGAGTCGTAAATATACGTTCGAGCGTCCAATAGCCTTGAGTGCGGAAACCTTGAGAATTTCCCCCTTTATCTTCACAAATGGAGAAATGTATATGCGAAGAAAGGTCAATTCAATAAAGGAATAAAAGGATTTAGAAAAAGACCTTCCTTATAAAAATTCCACAAAGCTCCAAGACTTGATGTAAGCCCTTGATGCAACAACTCCAATGCAGCCCTTCCACATATTGTGGGCATCCGTGGAATGCAACTAGTCTCGTTGTTGTTCAGGGTACTACTGCTGGACGAAGCTGGTAGCTTTTGAAATTACATTATACGATCATTTTTCTGCGTTATTTGTGTTTTCGTTTTCAACAACGTTCAATATGAAGTTAGAAATTAGCCTATGTTCTATGTTCAACAACTGCATAGCGACTACCCACCCTGTATATTAGAGGGAAGCTGAGGACTGTTCATGGAAATGATAATATCGAAAACCCGGAATTCCACTCGTTCAAATAGAGCACTTTTCTGTTAATACTATATTTGAGGGTCTTGAAAGTGCCTATTTAATTTCTCATTCCTTTAATCCTTTTCATCCTGTGTCACTTACTACACGATCTTCTTTTTCTTCTTCCCGTACTCGTGATGAGGATTCCAGATGGCTGGAGACATAACTAAGAAGTAAGCTCTTATTTCATGTGAACCACCAAGCATAAGAAGGAATGATGAGAAGCACTTTTCAGCATGCATGTATTCTGGGATCATCTACGAATAATAAGATGGTAACTAGCCATGACATACAGGACATCAAGAAAAGTAGATGCAAGTCTATGTGGACAGTTTCACATTGATGTAATCACTCGCAATTATGTCACAGGAGGGAAATAAGATCAAGAAATTCACGGGATGAGACCATTAGACCATGTTTAGACCATTGGTCGGAAGGGAATGGAATTACAACAATTACATCCGACGCAACTTAGGATTTTTACATCATTCCTTTCACTTCCTTCCAACAGGTGCTGAGATCTTTGAGCAGGTAATCTCATTCTTTGAATCTCCACATGCTCCACAAGCATGTGACAACTGCAAGAAGTTACAAGTCTATATGTCGGTCAAAGTTTCACTCAATTTTTTTTTAAACGTAATTAGAAAATATTTTCCATTATGATAAGGCCCCTCAAATTGCTCACATCCTGCCAAAAGATCTCCTCACAAGTGAACTCCCATATTCAGACTGCAATCGACATTATTTGAATATGGTAGACACGGAGAAAGAGCGAGATATGAACGATATTTCAGATATTTTACACAAAAAATAGAGACTAAAAATAAATACAACATTCTTGTGAGGTTGAGAAGCGTAAATATTTCATGGTGAATTTCTCCTCCATGAATACTCTCTCCAGAATCTCAAAAACGTCTCGAATTCGAAATTCGAAAAGAGAATAGAATTTGAATTTCGAAAATATAAGAATTCAGAGATTCAAGGAACGACAAACGGAAGAAGAGCGAAGCTTCATTCGCATCCTCTGCTCTTTCCAGCGTGAATCGCCGGAGTCTTGATTCTTTTTCTCTTCGTCGCGTCTTCCCTCATCGCAGTCATCAGCTTCCGTTCGGATCTCCATCTTCTGGACAATGAGGCGAATGAGTTGTGTCTGGTCTTCAATGGCTCCTGCCAATTTTCGCAGCCTCCATTTCTGCTTCCCCAGCTCCTCCAGTACTAATTGCTCCGGAGGATTCCATTGCTCCCCTCCTAGAGAGACAACGATCGAACGAAGTTCATTCAAAGTCGAGTCTCATCCACGGGAGAGAATTTTTTTTTTTGCCATCTGTCACCGTCTTTGTTCTCCATGGGCCGGAAACCGCAAAGAAGCCAACTTAGGATCCCAGTCGTGCACACATTCCTGGCATTCGGGTACTCCACGACGTGGGACTTGTCCACCTTGGCTATGAAGCATCGAGGGAGTTTCCTCTCCAATTCCGAATGCAACTCCACCTAAAGGATGAAGGCTCAGTTGTGTCCCGGGAAATCGTGCGAAGATGACACACGCGCTTATTTGTAACTGAATTACCTGCATAGCGATGCGCTTGAGCTGGGCATTGCGTCTCACGCTTTCGATGTCTCCCACAGCGAGACCGATGAGGAGATTCATCAAGAGAATGGGCATGAAGAGAATGAAGACGACAAGGAAGAAGAAAGTGGGGGCCCGAAAAGGAAGTTGGATCCCGCAAGCTCCAGCCCCCCAGTAAGGCTGAACGAAAGTCCCCAGGAAATCCAATTCCCCCAACATCATGGTGAACGTCCGCAGCAGAGCCATTGGGAGACTCGAGAATGCCTTGTGTTGTCCCTACATGCAAATAGCCTTCATTCACGTCGCAATGTCCATCAGAAACCGACGATTTGATGTTGCAATTACTTTTTTTTATCAATAGCGTCTCGGAATTGATGACTGGTTCTGACATCAAAACATATCAACGGGAGTTTGGATTCTCAACAAATACCCTCTCCAAAACAGAGATGGAATCTGGCCATCCAGTCTTGGCTTCAGTATTCATGCGATATTAAAATTAGGACTTGAAAATCCTTATTGGGAGGTTGAACTTGAAAATATAGAACTTTTCCGCCAAATGCAATTTGGTTTAACTGATGTGCTGAACCGAAAAGAAATAGCTGTATGTTTTGTTTTATGAAATTTTCTTACTGGCCAATGACTTATCAACCGTTCTGCACGTCGGCATCAAATATGGTCGGTGTTACAGTAAATTGAAGTTCCCGTCTCGAGGGATCGAGGCACAGCACAGATTCTGTCCATGAACTTCTTGATGGGCAAAGCAATTGTAACCACGGGACTATTACAAGCTGGGCAATTGTAATCACGAGAAGCATACCCAATGAACCGTTCTCATGGACAAAGATAAAAAAAAGCCCTCGCAGGTCACGAAGGTCAATTGGCTAGATGACGAAAGAAAATCACACAGTAACTTCTTGAAAAGCGTTACTACGCAGCAAGGGGTTTTAACAAATTAAGCTGTGATAGCAATATTTCCAGGGCAGGGTGGTATTCACATGTACTCAAGTCTTAGCGGATATCCTTCTGCTCGGTTCTGAGGTCGACTACATCCTGAACGGTCTTTATCGAATGTCATTCAAGCATCAAGCCTAACTAATTCATCTTCAGTTAGCTCGACAACTTGAAGAAGGATTATTTTCTCTTCGAATGTACCTTAGAATTCAAAATATACACAAGGCCCTTTATCAAATCCTCCACACTCATCTCGGACACCTTCGATGTTTTGAACTACCTCTTTTTTTCCCTTGTTCTCAGCTTGCTGGAGAAAAAATTGATTCCCTTAGGGCCCATGAACAATAAAGTCCGTAAGGTGATCTCCTGTCCTAAAAATAAACGTTCCTCTTCGTTTTGTTCCTTTCTGGGATACACCCTACCACAATTGCTTCAATTCGATATCCCTGTTTTTCATGGCCACTAGTCTATTAAAGAGCCTCAGTGGGATTGTGTGACAAAGCCCTTATTCTTCTCCAGCTTCAGCTTTCTCTGCGTTCCGCAACCTTTTTTCTAGGTAAATTATATATTATATACGCCTGTTACGTAATGGTGTCAGCTGTTGTTCTCCTCAACTAGTTGATTACCTACCACATCCCATCTTCTTGCAGCTCTCTTTCTCTTCGAGTCTGATTGGACTTGGTCTAATACACCATTCCAAGAAAAAACAGAGTTCTCCAGAGCTTGAGTGGATATTGTCCTCTCTTTCCTCGTTCATTGCTCGAAATTCTTCGCACCGATAACGACAATTCCTTTATGCTTGGGAGGTCTTCTTAACTCCCCTTGATTTAGGATATACAGTAATACATGATGAATCATATAGAAGTTTCGATAGGATGATCGAGGAAAGACGGAAGGGATCGTCCCGTCCGCTAACTCCACTGCTCAGTTTTTTTGTTGGAATGGTATAATATTGATGGTAATCGGCACGTAGCTCTACAGAGCCAGTCAAGCATAACATCTTGAAGCCTGCTGATATGAACCTGGAAATTGTTAGCTACGAGATGGAAGTTAGGTGTCAGCTTCATGGCAGGGCGTTCTACTTCTTTTCCTGGAAACAAGCCAAGTAAATACTGTAAATAGCACTTTTGAATGAACATGGCACTGCTGAGAACCACCTAGAAGAGAAGATTCAACTCCTAGTTCCGAAGTCTCCATGAACAAGCATTTTGTCGTTCTTGAAATGCTGAAAGATTGGATTGGAAACGCTCCTCTAGACGTTCTATTGTATCTGACTGCCGTTCTGTCATTAAAAGAATGGCCCTTTTGTGGAGACCTTCTAATCCTTCTTTACTTCCTCCTAAGATGCATTCACGAAGGACATAATGGACATCTTAGGAACCTCGGTACTCTCCATGATTCGCAGAGCCTACCTCCATTTCACTCGCCAAAATCGAAATTGAGTCACTCAATACTTTTGCGTCTCACTCCCGTGGTCTCTTTTTGTTAAGCGACGCTGTAAAATTCACGGCATTTTTCATTATCAGGATTCAAATTATGGACTCCTGTCACTCGATCTTTATTGATAACCTCTGTGTCCATGTCACACGTCCTTGTTTTGGCTACCACATGGGAAACAATTTAATTCCTGGTTATCCATGGGTGGCTACTGGGGGCTTTTTTTTTTTACAGAAAGTGGGGAGGAGAGGAGGGGCAAATGCACCCCTGCGTTCCCCACTGGTCTCCAGCTTATGCCTGTCTTCCCCCCCCCTTCTTGTAACTTTGGAGTCAGGTCAGCACAGGGAGGCAGGAGAACGTCGTCAGATAGAAACCATTCTTGCGAAGGTTCACTGAGCAAAAATGAGAAATAAATCCTGCTGTGTGTTTGAAACACTTCACACTGTTTGCATAACAGGTGACCCTAGCTACGACATGTTGGATGCTCCTGCCAGCCCCTTACTTCTCTACTGACGAATCCTGAAAAGAATTCCTGGATGAATGAAACCCTTCAGGTATCATTTCTCAAGCAATACCTGTAAGAAACTACATGGCTTTCGACAATATGTCCATTTTAACAGTTCCTATACATGGATAATAATGAGCATGCTCCATTTGAGCCAAGCTTTTCGCTTTCGCCAGTTATGTTCTTCTTCCTTCATTATGGTTTTGTGGCTTTGTGCTGTCCTCCATCGAGACTACTCAAGAACTAAGCGTCCTTGAGAATCGCAAACATATCAGTCGTGCCTACATGGGAAGAGAAGAGTTCTTGCAACAACAACCTAAGGCTGAATCTGATCTTGTCTTCTCGATCATTACCCACCACTGTGATTTAGGAGTAATCCTGAATCACAGCTGGAGTAGGAAACAACTGGTCTACAGTGACGTGTTTCCATGACATATCTTTCAGCTAGCCTTCATGACTTATAAGCGTCTTCTGAAATTTTTTTCCAAGAGCACGGTTCATTGGGTTTGCTCTAACTAGGTACTTCATCGGTGTCCAAACATTTTGGTTATGGAGGCCACACTGCCTGAACCAAGATCTAAGAACTTGTGCCATTTAGTTGATCAAGTCCGGTGTCTAGGATATGGGGGGAAGAGGACGCTGAGCGAAGGAACGAGGTAGGGTGCTGTGAGGACACTTAACGTGTCTGCTAAGAGTGTGTGCGTCACTGCTCGAACCTTCAGTGAGGAGTTCGAATCCCTCAAATCTCTCTTTGTTGCGCCGCTCCATTTTCTCTTAAGTACAGAATTACAATTTTCCTTTTCCCCAAATAGTCTCACTTTAAGCACCCCTACTCAATGTGGTTGCAATAGCTAGCCTTGGGCAAGACACGCCAACACGAGTCAACTTTCGAAATCTCAGGTGCGCTTCGGTTTCAAGAGATCGGATTCTCCATAGGTTATCAGGTAATCTACAAGTGCCACCTGTCGTCTTTGTTTGGACCCGTACGTCAGACAAACCAAGAGGAAATTGAAGTAAACGTTATATCTTTTAAAAACGTTATTTGTGGGTCTGTCCACGCCAAGTGGTCCGCAGATTTGTAGTAAGCTTTTGAATATTACACTCAATACAAATGTTCATAATCTCTTTTTCCTAAAGGCATAGATGAATGAGAATATTATCTTTAAAAATTACAGAAATAGTAATTATTTTACTATATAATTTTGTACCACTCTCTTGATGTTCATGGATACGATGGAAATGCAAATCTAGAGGTCGGATTGAACTACTGGAACAGAAGATCACTATGCATGGCAGAACAGCATGTTCTCCCATGCATAGTGATAATTTAAAATCAACTCAGGTGTGAAGGTGTGTCAATTGCTCGCATTAGAATTATATTTTGAAGAAAAAACAAACTAATATATGCATGCAGACATCTTGTTTTCAAATAAATTTTCAAAACATGTCACATCCGACACGATTACAAAATAGCCTTGCTTTCTTTTCTGAGTTCTGTACTCATGGAGTAAATAACAAAAATGTCATATTTTAATTTAATCTATAAAAATGAACATAATACTGAATTGATAGGTTCCGCTATGTGACAGAAATGTGACCATTTGCAGACTTCAACCTGAGGTTTCATTAAATGTCACGTCCAACACTTTTTTCGCACACAAATACACCTTAAGCACAAGAGAGTAGGGATGCCTTTGGCTAGTGAAAATTTCAATCACTGCCTGCAGCCATTATATGTTGATTCGACATTTATAATATACGGAGTATTTAAATACATATTGTATATCAAATATATAACTCCTGATGTCACGTCCGACACTTCGGACAGTCCCATATGATCTCTTCCATAATTTAACCTGCAAGTCCCTTTGATACACATTCAGTGAAGAATGATCCAATTGGGGAGAAGTTGTCTTGTGCTGGTGCTGGAGGAGGCATGCTTGAGACTGTACAAGTCGGCCATCAATCCCTGCATCCATCTTAGCTCTACGCAATCCTTGCAGAAGACTTCCACCGGGAAATAGGGAATTATCTCATTCTGTCTGCAATTTCGCTTTTGCACTACTTGTTTCTTTTACTTTATATGCTATAATAGAAATTATAAACTGGAAAAACTGAGAAACCTTCGTCGAAGAAAAACTCTTGGCTTGGGGGAATATGGGAAAATTATATTAATGCAAAGTGCACCAACCAGTTTGCGAAGATATTCCAATCAGGTTCTTTACCTCTAGCTGACATGCCCACCAGTGCACTGACAGGTTCAAGTGAGAGTTCAAGGACGTCAGAGCATCAATCGATTTTCTTTTTTTTTAGACATTCATAATGGATCTCATGATGGATCACTTAATGTTTTTACGCATGGATTTCTGTTAAGAGAAGCCAACTCTCAATTATCAGGCACGTCCATTGACTAATTTCGCAACAATAATTAAGAGTTCGGAAAAGCAAGAAGAAGCAATAAGGAAAAGGGGGGGGGGGGGTGAAAGAGGAGATAAGCCTTGGCAGCTTGGCTTGAAAATAAAAAGGGGGCATGTGCTCCTTTAGCATGATTGGTAAAGAAAGTGGGAATGTCATTCCCACAGCTTTTCAATAGGGAGGGGGAACACCGTTCTTCTTGGAGGAACTCGGAAAAATTGCCTAAGTGGGCACCAGGAATTAATCACTACAAAGGGGGAGGGGGGGGGGGGGATGGTTCAACACATCACCCTCTTGTTAATGCTGTTTCCAAAATCCTGCAGGTAGACTTAGGTGGGTCATACCCACCTACAGGTGGCTTGACTCATCTGGAAAACGTAGGGAAATTACCCGGAATGAATGGCTATAGCACAAAAGTCTGCTTTAAAATTAAAAGCGAGAGAGAAAGGGAAACCCCCCCCCCCCCAAAAGTAGGGGTGACAAGGCTTCCCCAGGTAACCCGAAGAGGTAGACAAATAAGGTCCAGATATGTTGGGTATAATGGAGGAGGAAATAAGGCATACACAAGAACAGGTAACCAAGGAATTTATTAATTGATTATAACTTAGAGCAAAACAGTTCAGAATCACTGCTAAAATGGATATTTTCAATTATACTGTTGCCATACCAGACGATTGAGAAAAACCTTTTAGACAGCTATGGTATATATTCTGCTATACCGGTATTTATTAACTAACCCTCCAAGCCTGTGTGATGGCAGAGCCGCTCAGAAGCGAATCTGTTTTTCAGAAAAGTCAGGCTCTTTTGCATCATGCGTTAATTAACTTTTTTGCATGGTAGGATAAATGGCAGCTTATATGATCGTTTTTATCTTGTTAGTGAGTTAATTTACAAAATGAATGGGAATCCACTGAAACTATACCTCTAAAACCAGTTTCTTCTCATATGGGAAGTACTTGTACGAAGTGCAGTCAGCAAGTCCGTGCCGTTACATTATAACTCTTAAAGTATACCAAGTTTCGCAAACCCACCTCTCTCGCTTCTTAACGTAGTCTCCTTTCTCTGCACATAGTTGCCACCGTTTTAATCAGGCTTCATAGCACTTGGCAAAGTCATCTTTACTTAGAGATGTATTTTTGAACTACTGGTAGACTCCAGAATCTCTTGTCTCAAAGGATATTTCTTTCCTCGCAACGAATCCTCGAGCTTGCCAAACAGCCAGAAGTCACTCGGAGGAAGATATGACGAATATGGAAGACGTGGTAAGAATTCAATCCCCATTTCAGAGAACTCTGCCACGACGCGGGCAGTGTGCGGTGTCCTGCATTGTCTTGATGCAAAATGGACGCAACTTGTCCACTGCTGGCAAAAGATCCGTTTCTAGAAGGAGTCGATAATATTCGCCATTGATGGTCTGACCCTTGAAAACAGCATGAGCCAAAATTAAGCCCTGTTTGTCCTAGAAAACGGCGTACGTTTTCATTTGTACCATGACGTATCTTTTCATTTGAAGGCAACTTGTCGAAACTTCTTGGATGGTGGGGCATCAGTGTGCTTTCGTTACTTTGATTATCTCTTGATCTCGGGATTGAAAAGAGGAATCCATGTCTCATCCATAATAACCACACGGTCCATGAAATCCGTAGAACACGGCGCATTTCGTGTCACCATGGCAGAAGTGCCCAGACGGTTTTGCTTTGCGCCCTCAGAAAGCATGCGAGACCCAGTGGGCTCTCACTTTGCTCATGTTCGGCTCCTCGGACAGAATCTTTGCAACGGTTCCGTGCGAGAGTCATAGTCTTTCTGTGATATCATCAATGGACGGGCGTCGATCTGACATCACCAATAAATTTCACCACAGCTCTTTGCTCCTCGATTGTAAAATTCTTTTTTTTCCAACCCAATCTAAAAAGAGACAAAAATATCACAAATTTCGTATTATCACCGTCACGGCGACGGAATGACTGAAAGTGAAGGACAAATGAAAGACAACCACCAATTGGTCTTGTTAGTGTTACGCACACGGCCGCTATACGCTAGCAGCATGGACTTTCAGACTGCACCTCGTACACAAAATGTACCTGTCCATAACTATCCTGAGGTGTTTGGTCTCTTCTTGCCGTTGGAAGGAATCATAGTTCCGCCATCTGCTGCAGGCGGTCGTCCTTGCAAAGGATCGAGGAAGATGAATATATTTCCTATGCATCCGCGACGGACATTTAACCATCCGTGATCCTATTATGATAATTATTAGGTTGAGACGAAGAAGAATTTCACCTTTCAAATCGCGAAACGATTGAGAAAATCGTCTCTTGTGTTTTGGACTCTGGCTGCTATTACGTTCACCCCTGCGCCCGTTCCAGTCCTTGGTGTTATCCATAAACTTGCAAATACTTTCTCAATGCAAGGGCTTTTCTACGAAGAAAATATCCCATACTTCGTTGGCTCTGAAATTATTATGCTTAGTATTGTACACGTCAAGACACCAGAAAGAAAGACCAGTTTGATTAATTACTTTTTACTGCATATCAGGTCACGTAATGAGGTTGAAATCCCTCCATTACCGTCGAGGTTGCAAATATTTCGCATATCATGTTCTCTGGAATGGAACGCATGATGGTGGGAAGACTTTAACTTTGAATTTCTCTAAGTAGGTAAGCTTAGGTCCCTTAGGCTGTAGGGAGGATATAAAGAACTCGCTTGGAATAGTAATATGTAGAAGGCGAAGCCGAAAGCGACGATGAGGATTGAGAAGAGGAGCATAACCTTGAGAAGCGTGTTGAGGATCTCGAGGAACATGACCACATAAATCCCCACCTGATCAAACCTGTCAGATGGATCCAACCCAAAATCAGAGAGACTATTGTAAGGAAAATGATGAGGATGGTGACTGTGACGGTGATACCGTTGTAAATAGAGGAGGAGGTTGAACCAGGCCAAGAAGACGGCAAGAGCAGCGAAGACGAAATGATAAGGATGGAAATGGCCGCAGAAGACGGGAGTCACCATCACAGCAGCCGAGAGAAACAGAATCCACTGTACCAAATTCGTCGGTTCTCTCAAATACTTCCGTCTCTGGATGTACATCTGGATGAATTCCTTCGAGATGCTCCCCACCACGTAAACCAGGATGATGACGGCGTTTATGTAATACAAGGCAAGCGTCTTCACCTGAATTGTCCAAGACAGAATCATTTGGTTGTAAAGTAAAATGAAGGTTTACTTCGACGATTGCATCATGTTCTCCGCCATCCAAAACAACCCATACAGTTCGACTGTCAAGAGAGAAAGTGGCTTCGGTGGCGAATATTCGCATGGGAAATTAAAGCCGACTTCCTTTACGAGCACTTACGTGTCGGTAGAGGAGGCTGTTCCAAAGACGCTAATAATGAAGACCGCATTTGTTATTCTCTCGTGCCATATTTTCTCTCAGTTTTAACATACATGAATCGATGGGAATAAAATGTCAAGATTGGCCGCTTGGCCTGATCCTATGATGACTGGTCTTGAATGCCCACGATAAATTTAATTATTCCAAGGGCTCGAATGTGGGTGTGGGATGAAGTATGTCGAAACCCATGGGAAGATGCCATATATATGAGAAGTTAACGGATGATTCATGGTGTCAAGGGAGAAAGTATGGGGTTCTTGCAAGACTGACACCCATAGCTAATTCCCGACAGGGAAGTCTGGCTCCCAACCGTTCAATTAAGCTCTCTTGGCTCCATTTCCCCCTTCTGAGCAAATGTATCGAGATGGAAGAGGATAGTGGGTTAGAGAAAGCGCAACTGCGTGACACATGTATACTCCATTGAAAATGTCATGCATTTAATCAAATTCAAGATCGTCTAGACACGGAAGGAGACTCACCTCGCCTCCAGCCCAGCTGTACATATTTTCCATATTCCATTCCTCCAAGCGGGATCTGTTCTCGACGCCTGCGTTGTTTGACCGGGACAACTGGAGAGATACACATGTACCTTTACAGCCTCTGCACGAAAGTATTGGTTATTGAGGAGATCATCATATTCCTGAAGGGGCACTTCACTACGGAATATCGGATGATTCTACGATGATGGAATAACTTTCTTGTTCTTCGGGAAGAACTTAAAACCCATCTTATTTCAGTCTTACCGGTTCTCGAACGAGTTCTTTTCCGAGAGGGAGACTAGCATTCTCCTCCAAGGAGCTCTGATTGAAGCCGAAGACGTCGTGCTGAGCCGAGATCAACGGATGGACGAAGGCCGTGACGCATGCCAAGAATATGAGATACACTACCAGCCTTGCCACGTGGAAGTACATCCCGTACGAATTCCATTTCATCTGCAGGTACTTCTGACTCAATGGATGAGCCAAAAGGTCCACTCGTCCGAATCGCACCATCGTCTACATTGAAAAATGAAAGAAAAAATGATCGATTCCGTGGAGAGAATTGAGAGAAAGTCGACATGGGTGATTACCGGTCGACAAAACCGACATGTAGCACATGATATAGCTCTTGCAGTCGATGCAATTGCCTCAAATTTCGTTTCGTGATGAGTGTACGTCGGCCACGTTTAATTCAATTATTCGTTTCTAAACGATATTTCAGTATCTCCACCCAAGGATATGACGGTTCTAACGTCCTCTCGCTTGCGGTTACCTAACTCAAAGCGTAGAGAATTTATTGTGGTGCGACCTCACGTGCTCGCAGGAGCGGGTTCCCCTTTCATCTCGAAGACGAAGTGCGATAGTTAAAGAGCGGACGAGGCCGTTGCTGCAAGCCTAGGGCCGCCATATATCTGGATTATTGGTCGCATCTGCTCGCTCATCCCGCAATTACTGCATAATCACCTGAGCAACTGGAATGCATTGGCTTTCAAGTCTCGTTCCCGGATTGCGCAATACAAAGTGTCAGCGCAGAATCCAACACGCATCGGCAAGATGGAGTCACGTTAACTGCATGCTTGCTACAGTCTGACCAAGAGAAGAGAGCCAGTGCGAAAGGACCATGCCATAAATGGCAGATTAGCCTCCCTCTCATGGAGAATAGACGAATCCTGTTCGTGGAATGCAATAGAAGCCTAAAAGAAAAGTGAAAGAAGGGGAAGAACTTGCATTCATAGCGGGCAAAGGTGGCAGCCGCCAATTGGGGTCGTTGTAGCATTTCTGGTAATTCTTCACCTCTTCCTCAGATACTTGGTACGTATAAAAGTTGTATTTCACCTAAAAAAGAAAAACAAAAGCAAGTGTACCCTTAAAGATCGGAATCGAACGACGCGATGCGATGCAGGGGACGAAAAGAGAAGACCCACGAAATAGGACTTGGAATCCTGCTTGCAGGAGGCGCGTTCGATGCAAGTGTCGAGGACAGCCTCGAAGACTCGGGGCATGTGCTCAATGAGAGCCATGCTGGTGGATGGGGTCTCTTCCGAGATCAAACCCATCACTTCCCTTTGCCTAAAATCAAGGAAACGGGAATTTAATGAGAGGGAATGCGAAGAGGATATCGATAGCCTTTCGTCCATTATCTGCTGATGGCACGAGAACGCGGAGTTCGTGAGCTCGTTACCCGTAAGGCGCATGAGGCGATAAAATTCTCAATACATGAAAAGGTCATTATGGATCTGAAAGTACGTAGCCGTAACGCAAGCAGGGTATTACACAACGAGTCATTTATGATATGCCTCCAGCTCTTTCGCTCATCCATTGAAGGACGAGCTCTTCACGCCTCCACTCTTTCACGTAAATACATTTTTTAAATGATGATAATCATCCTCCATCTCACGTACTGGGTTTTTTCCCCCATTCTTTACGAAGCTCCTCCCTGTCATCGACCTACATTCCTCCGGATTCGATCTCACCTGGAGTGGGTGACCATAGCAAGGGCTGGCTCCGTCAATTTGTATTTGATGCAATAATTCATGGCACTCAGATTCTGGTTGTTGAACAAGAGCTTGCAACCGGCCGAGAGGAGGAATGTTACTGCATTCGGTCGATTCTCGATCGCTGCCAAATGCAGGGCTGTGTTCTGCAAAAAAGAGAGGTATCGATCTGCTTCATGCACCACAGGCTAGGTAAACATGTTCGAGATCTGTGAATTGGACATACCCCATTCTTGTCCAACTGGTTCAAAAGGTGAGCGTGAACAGAGAGAAGAAGAGCCATGGTTTTGGTGTATCCATTCATGGCAGCCAAATGCAACGGGGTTCTCCCACCGTGATCCCGATGCAGCAAAGCACCTCGATTGAGAAGCAGCGCCACCAACCTCGTGTGACCTTTTACCGTAAGATAAATAGGAAGAGAAAGTGGATCACTCGTGTTATGAAGCCTGGAGACATCGTGAAGTCCTACTGAGAGAATTACACTGTCAAGGACTCCCGACCCGATCCGAAAAGCACATTAACTATCCATCGCTGCTGTTCAACTGGCCTGGGGTGAAAAGGATTTTTTTCTCATCTAGCCTGTGACGAAAACGAGAAGGGAAGCCCACCCGCTGAGTTTAATTTCGCATCAACAGCGGGTCTGTAACGACAAGTGACAAAAGAGCTTCCTCTCGGACCCGATGCCCCCATCCCTCCGGTCAGTCAGTGCAGAAGTTCACAGTTACCAACCGTGATTTTGCTGTTAGAAACACCATCACGATAGAGTACATAGGTTTCCTAAATACTCGATGCCCAGGGCACCTTCAAGACTGTGCATGGAAGGTTGCTAAACCCGGGAACGATGGGAAAACTAAAAAATAGAGGCTGTGTTAAGGAAGAGCCTAGAATGACCGATATGTCATCCGTTCAACAATGGGTTCAACAATCTGTTCCATGCACGGTCCCCACTCATTTACGCCCGACACCCAATTGGAACACTTCTAAATCGAATCTAATATGTAGGTACTCGTATATAGACGATCGTGAGTGACTGAGTGACTGACACTAATTCTAACCATGTTCCAGATGTGTTAGTAACATGAAACTTGGTACACAAGTAGCTATTGGAATGCTGAGTACAGTATTTTAAACATTTTCGGCTCAGCGAATCAGATAAATAGGGAAGGGTAAAATTTAGTATTCGAGTAGTACTTGCGATATTGATTAACATTTTTGCCTTTGTGATTCATCGCCTCAGAGCACATTTTTTCGTGAGGGTCATATTTTGAAGAAAATTTTCGCTCCGTTGAAGTAGGCATATATGAAAAGCGGAAGTTTGGTATGTAAATACCTCTCTGGGTATTGATTTAAATTAAATTTTTACTTTTCAGGTATATCTCCTCAGAGAAAATTTCAGGCAGGATGTTTTCTACAAATACATTTTCGCTTCATCAAAACAAGCAAATATAGAAATTTGACATTTTGGATCTATGGAGGAAATCTTGCCAAGAAGAAACTATGAAATGCTTTGTTACGTCACAGATTCGAAACAGATAGGCGTAAAACAAAGCATGAAAATAAGTAGCGGCTGTACTTCTTGTTAGCACTCCCAGAAAGAAGGAATGCAGCGGCAGGAATACTGAAGCCAAATGAGGCGCTGTATGAACAACTTGGGCGCCATTATGGGCATTGCGCCAGTGGTACCATTGACGCCAGATTGCTTTGCCTTAACTTCCAGCTCCATAGGTGTCGATGTTGTTAGGCAGTCAAGACATGAGTATCCTTCGGAAAGTAAATAGATCCTTCCGAAAAGGAAGGCAAATTTACTGAGGAATTTAATCCTTTCTTTCAGTTTCACAATTCAACTTTGCAATTACAATTTACCCCCACCCAGAGTTTAGTACTAAGAAGGAATCATGGACTCAGTTCTGTCTCTCAGTCTCAGTCAGACTCAGTCTCTCAGACTCAGTCCTGGTTCATCAACCAGGAGTAAGAGGAGGGAAGAAAGGAAGAAAACAACTATCTTCGCCCGTCAAAACGTCAAGAAACTTTGATGCGCCTACGTTATAATTTGGTATAGGCTATTGCCTATACCAAATTATAACGCTCCGAGTTGACCGTTTCTCCGTGGGACAGAAAATTCAGCAGGGCAGTTCATGACAGTCGAAGAACACAGTTGTCAAGGCTTTTCCTGCTGAAACAGTTGCATTGAGTTTTTTGAGTGGGTGAAATTGGGAATGCCTCTACTCCATGCTGACACGTTTTGACTCAGGTTCAAGATGGTGACGCCAGGTTTTTTCACATGCCACAGTTCTGGCCAAAAGGGTGTCCCCTTCAACATGGTAGTGCTACATATGCGTGAGACAAAGACCCATACCGACATTCTTCTGGTCTCCGGTCCGGCATTTCGGTATCCATTTGGCGCCCACCGAATAATACTGGAGAAGAACCTTTGCGATTGCGCGCAAAAACCCATGGCTAATCCCCACTTCTGCGGCTATGGCATCCAGAGACACGCGACTGTTTGCTCTAATCATCTCGTCCACCTTCGCGATGTTTGCGTCCGTGATGATGACATTGGCCTGTCTGGGTCGGAGTTTGTCCTCAACATTGAGGCGTCCGCCGGGAAACATTTTGCACCATTCACATACCCTTCTCCGGGACAAACATGCCTCTCCATGAGCGGCAACCACTCTATGATGGATTTCAAGTGAGAGAAGAACCAAATCACAACTCTCTGATGTTCCTTGAACTCCCCTTCAACGGAGGTGGCCATCTTTCTCTTGGCACACAATCTTCCGCAAGTAGTGATGCCAATAACACTTTCAACGCTACTACAGTGTACCTAAGACGTATGTACGATTCATGAAGGTGCGTTATTCGTATGCCGTTTGGTGCGAGTTTTGCTGTTTTCAGTTGACTGGTCCTAGTACTTTACATACATACGTATTTGTATAAATATATATTTATACCATTGAAAAAGTACCATTGTCAGATAGAAGGTTTTCCTTTAGTTTCGAAGGGATTTGACAAGGGGAAACCTTCGTTGTCCTACTCCCATGTGTCTCTGGAAGTTGATGAATCTTGGAAAATCGACAAACTTCTTCGCATAAAACCATAAAATCCTGAGAAGGAACCTTTCACTCTGGCATTCAATCCACATGCAAATATTGGTCATGAATGATGCTGGTGAGGTTCAGTCAGAAAGACGTAGTCAGACTCGGGGGCAAGCAGAAGCTGACACGCTCTCTGTGGCAACAATATAAGGATTCGACCATAGTGTATACTCAAGTAATTGTGAATTTCCAGTTAAGCCGGTAGCCAGTTGATTTAATGCAGGAAAATGTCTGGTCAGCAACTCCTGATAAAGATGGTAAAGATGAAACCTATGGAAATTTCGATTTAAATGACTTGAAAGCTGCTCCTAGCATCATGACGTCACCTTAGATAATGAAGGGAAATACTCAGAGGCAACATAGAACAAAGACAAAGAACACGTTTTATGGCATAGGTTCCATTTTAAATCTTGAACTGGACAAGACCAACAGAACAATATAAACGTGTTGTTACGTAATGTCCCGGAACCTCAATGCGGATTGATATGCCCCGTTCCATTTCAAACTACATCAGATTTCGCTTTTGAAAGTAAAGGCGGAGGGAACGAGGGTGGTAGACTGACTTTCAGCTTCCCCTTCCTTAAGCAACCTGCCTTTTCCCGCCCGTACTTAACATTTAACAACCTTCTAACGAAGATTTTTCCCCCTCCGAGCATTCTAGTCATCAAAATAAAAAATTTTTACGGGAACATTAAAAGAAAGAAAGAAGAGAGGAACGCCAAACGATTCCTACTCTCCAGGCCTTTCTAAATGCTCCGAAAGAAATTTAAATGGATCCTCTCAGATTATTTAAATTTAAATTTAAGTTTTGGTTTATTTCGTTTGAAAATCGAAATATCTTCAGGATCCGAAGTGGAAATTCACGGACGTGCACGTGCACGTGCACTTTGGAGAGTAGTCCCATTCTCAATATATGCTGCACGCAGCTTTAACCATGTCACTTGGCCATTCTTTCCATTATTTTATTCATTCATTTTGAATACTGCTTAATCCAACTGAATCGGGACGCAGTTCAAGGAGGTGGAGGAGAGTCCTCCGGTGCTCCCGATCCTAGACAACGGACTCAGGCTCAGCGGCCGAGCCTCTCGTGACAGCTTATTCCATTTCCCAATTACCCTATGGGTGAAGAATCTCTGTTTCAATTTTCTCAACTGCCCCAGGCCCAAGGACCTTTATGGAATGCGACATTATTGCGGAAAATGGATCCCGGGGATTAGATCCCCTGTGAAACGTAAGCTCCTCAGAAATCCAGATATGTACCTTCCTTGCTGGAAATATGGAGAGGAGTCTGTCCTGTGCCATCACTTTCGTTGATGATGAAAGGTCCTTTCTCGGAGTCCAATAATCGTCGTACAGTGTTGAACCTTCCGTACCTGAAACATACAAGTCATAGTTTTCCTACTAAGTCGACTGTCGGCTGAATTGGTATTATATTCGCAAAATCAGTTCTCTGAAAAAGAGATGCCACTCATGGTACCGATTTCATTAATCACTTCGTGATAATGTAATTGAATGGGAGCCACATCATGTTGCAGATTCAAGGCTCCCATTTGACGGCGGATTCCTCCCCTAATGATTCGATTGACCCATTTACCCGATCGAATATCCTCTCTTATCGGTATCTATCGGTAATGGCCTAATTTTCTTCTTTTTTTCCCCTTACCTCGCTCTCTCTCAGGATGCCAAGGATAAACGTGCATACATGATTGATGGGGATGTGAGATTCAAAGGCAAACAATGACATCAGGGACGAGGGATGAGAGAGAACGAGAGAGAGGGGGAGGGGGAGAGAGAGAGAGAGAGAAAGAGAGGGGGAGGGAGAGAGAGAGGGAGAGAGGGAGAGAGAGCTTGCAAAATTCCCGTCCCGCCAGGCCACTTCTTACAACATAGCCATATCAAGGTTCACTTCTCCAATGAATATTCACAAGATCGATGGATGGTTGGTCCCTGCACGACTCTTCAGCTACTGAATAAAAAAGCAAACAGAGGTAAAAGGGGGTCAATGATAAGTCCCAATGACGAAAAACCCCACACAGAAGAGGGAGAGACAGAAGATGTCGACACGTTTGCCTCCACTAATTTGCCGATTGATGCCGACGAACGGCCCCGCAATACCTCAAGGGCTTCCCACAATGCCCTTATTTGTGGCAAGTAGCATCTTCGTGTTGTACAGCATATGGGGAAAAAGTCCCAGGGTTTTTAACCCAAAAAGGTCTTACTGCCACTGTTTTCATACAATTAGCTCCGTGTTTGGACCGATATGTTTACGAGAGGCTTTTTGAATTTAATTAAAATTCATCATGCCAAAGTAAGACAGAGAACAATTATTCAAAATCAGTTGGATATTGAAACTAAACAGGAGCCCATGCTGGGAGTCGAAGGGAGGAAGATGCTTCGTGCCGTGGATGCATACGCAGTCTAATCTCTGCAGGGGTTGGAGCCGGTCCCCAATCAATTTACAATTCATGATTTCTCTTCAGTAGTGCTCATAGCCTTGCTGTAGCTTAACAAATTTTTATTAAATTTAAATGCGCGATGAGTACATATCAGTCTATGCGCAGCGCAAATTTTGTTTAAACAAAAAAGGTGCTTTGTTGTAAAAAGGTTAAAAGTCACGGGTCCTTGTTGCAATACCCTGTAGATGCCACTTCTCTTCGTATGCAAGCACGCTATAGATGGCTTGTATGGTTTGTTCTAGCCCCTCTGCACCTATCTTGGGAAACCGAGATGAGTGTATGGGATTGGCAATATTTAATTTCCATTATACCGCAGAGATATGCGGGGATGGAATATCGGACATGACATTCAAGAAACCTGAAGAGATGGAAAAGAAAGGATTTTGGTTTATAGCATTTCTCTTGGATTCACTTCCTTACCTGGCCGCAAAATGGAGAGGGCTTTCGCTGGAATTGTTCTTGCTGTTGATCGCAGCTCCGTATTTTAGGAGCCCGGCCAAGGTCCTCGCTCGGCCTTCTCGAGACGCAAAGTGCAACGGAGTGCATCCATCTTCATCAGGGTCGTTCAACAAGTCCAGGAATTCCGGTTTTCCCTGTCAGATGACCGAGACGGAGAATTAGATCGGAAAAAAAAGTCAGTCACGCAGGGACGAAAGAGCGAGAACGGGCCATCGGTGCCATCAACGACCTGGAGTTCGTCAGTGATCTCTTCCAGTTGCCCACCGCTGGCAATGATGAGATGCAGAATGTTTCTGCTGTGCGCATCCTTGACAATTATATTCACGTTTAATCGGAGGAGTAAGCGGACGGTCCGCCAGCAGCTTCTTTGGGCAGCCAAGAGAAGAGGAGTCCTCTTTTCTCTGTCTGTCGCCTCCTTCCAGGCGCCCTACGCATTATTTAGTCCAGCAATTAGAGAACTCAGTAAAAGCCAGCGCGTCGTTCGAAAGGAACAAATTCGAAGAGGATCATGCGAACATACGAGTGAGACGAGGTATTGCACGATGTCTCGATGATCGAACATGGCAGCACAATGTAGGGGTGTCATTTCTTGAGCATCTCGAGCAGCCAAACAAGCCTCTTTTTCTTGGGGCTGCATACTAAACATCAGTTGAACTATATCCAATGCTCCTTGAGAGCAGGCCAGATGTACTGGGGTCGAGAGGTCATGCTGCTGAGTCGAGATTTTCGCCCCATGCATCAAGCAGAGCCGGACTGCCTGCAATGCGAAAGATTTTTTTTTTCTGACAGCACCTTTATGACGAAAATGGAAGAGAATATTAATGATTCCTGGGTGGTCTTGAAAACCTAAGTGGAGGGCTCTTCAGCTGGACACGAATCCCCGTGATGCAAATGTCTCTCACGCGCGTTGACTCCACGGCAATGACGAAATAGAAAATGCCCTATACGGTACGAGAGATGTGGCATAATGGAGAAAGGGAGACAGTGTCGCCAAGATGGGTGAATGGATCCTGTCATCACGAACCTCTACCGGGTGTGCAGATAGGAAACTGAAAGCCATTACGTCATTCACGAGTCGGCACGGAGTAGCGGACAGGACAAGACATGAAGTGGAAGCAAGGACAAGGGAAAAAGCCAAAGCCAAACCTTGATATCTCCTGCGTGAACGGCCGAATGGAGAGGCACGTTCCCTTCTGCATCGAAGACAGCGATCATCCGCTCTCGCGAACATCCAACCTTCTCTCCCCAGTTGAGAAGTAGCTTGAGGGTCCTGGACGAAGCATGTCGAGCCGCTTCGTGGATGGGATAAAAACCATTCCGGCAAGTCTTCCTGGGGCAGTGGTCCAGCTGTTCCAACTACATGAGGCCACCCCATGACAAATCCAAAATTCTCATCCGCATGGAATCATACATATCAAAAGGCAGGCATGCTATAGACGCACGAGGACTTGAGCACACTGGTCGTAATCATGGATGGCGGCGAGATGCAGTGGGGTCCTTCCATGTTCTCCTCCTTGGTGAATGTCGACCCGGTCCTTGTGCTTCACAATTCGCTGTAGCACTACTGGCTTGTTGAGGGCGACTGCTAGATGGATCGGTGCCTGTTCCCTCGTGTTCATTAGATCCGTTGCCACTCCACTACGTACATCAATGCACAGCAGATACTTAGTCTCGATACCAGATTCAGGTTCAGACAGGATGTCCAAAATCAATTTTCATTTATCCGATTTGGTATATCTGTGCAGCGTCGTTGCCTAGACATGCAGAAAATGTTTTTCCTCGTACCCTTTTCGGTAAAGCTAGAAACAATATATATTTTTATATTTCTATGAGGAACAGCAAAATATGCAGCATTTAGAGTTCCTGAGTCAACACCATGCGCACTTAAAATATATGAAATAGCAAGGTTTCGCGTTGGACTTACAGGCTCCCAATTGACCGCAGACATAACGGATACGAATTGTTCGGTCTCTACACGTGATATCAGCAATCACGCGATTTTCGGAATTCTAGCGATGCAACACAACCGCCGTTAATGGTCATCGTACTTCACTGTCAGATATTTTTCTTCTTGTCAAAACAGGACAGACGGCACGTGCAACCTTGGGTCATCTTTGGCTCCTTCCTGTCCTTCCAGAACGACATTTAGATCCCAAGACCGGTTGAAAGACCCTGGGACTCCTGACTATCTTTGATTTATACCGCTCCAGTCCTGTTTTCGGTTGTCACAGGAGGGCTCTTGTTTTTTTCCGTGAATGGCTGAAGGGAACGATCGATCAAATCGCTTAGCATGCGTCATTTCCAAGAGAGAGAGGAAGTATTACATGGAGACCAATACGTGTTTTGATGAAGTTTTCCGAGTAACAAGCCGTTACACGATATTCCAATCGCCTTTATGGAGGCTTTGTAACCAAAACACGTCACGAGTAGACCCCTATGGGAAAAAAAAAATTGAGAGGATTACCGGTTGTCGCAGATTAATACCACAGCTAAATCGCCATTTCATATCGGTTAGAGCATAAAGGCGAGGAGCGTGAAGAAGGCAATGCGGAGAAAACGAGACAATCGGCTGCTCAGCTGGAGACCGACCAGCGAGGAGAACCTGGAACAAAACGCGGTCGCTTCCCTGCTGACATCTCCATTTCGATGAAGCTGGAATTTCCCGGGGAAAGGTCTGAAGACCTTCGTCAGGATTGCGACGGTTCGGGCAGAGTGTCTTTCAAGCAAGGGATTATGCATGCAGACGGACCAGTTTCCCGAGGGCATTTCAACTTGAGACGATCATAGAGGCTTATATTAAGCCGAGAGGCTCCGATTAGCTTAGTGCGTGACACCGGGAGAGGGAATCCCTGCTGAGTGCCCCCGTGATCCCCGGCCGATCCCGGTTCCAAACTAATCACATGTTTTTGGTCTTTCTTGATTCTAGGTGTTCCTTTCTTCAGTCCTGATGCAATCGGCCAAAGCGCTTTGAAGGGCAGAGGTATTAGTCGAAGCAGTACTTGATGTGTAATTACTGCTTAAGAAATGTACTTTCGGAAAGAAAGGGGAGGTGTACGACGATGATCAAAAAGCTTTCTCACTCCACCCTTCATCGCCTATTTTAAAAGAGAACATGCATCATGGCCGTTTGCAGTGATCTCCCTGGGATATACTTGACCCAGTGATCCGGGATCGTTGGGTCAAGTGTGGATCTTTTTCTCACACCCAGAGTTGTTTCTTATTTTATTTATTCCCTTCGATGCCGTGGCCACTGTCGCATTCGCTTCACCTGGGCTGTCGAAGCGTCCAATTCAATGCAATTCAAGGGAGAAGATTTCGAGCAATGAAGCAATTGTACGACTGAGTCGAGTCTTTTTATATGGCAATACGGTGACAACAATCAGCCCCCCCGCCCCCGCCCCCGGCACTCTGAGCTAACTCGATGAAATGAAGAAAATGGAGATAAAGGATGACATGCACCGAATACGTTTTAGCTAAACTAAATGTGATCTCACAACGCTCCTCTATGGGAATCAGTTTAACAGAGATATACTTATTCCCATAGACGCCCATAATGAAAACGAATCAGTTTAAAGTTAAACGAATTCGGTGCATGTCACCCTTAGACTCCGCATTCGGCCCTGCAAAGAATGCATTCTCGGACTGCGACCCATCTTCGGAGGTGATCATTCCCTCTTGCGTCCTTTTCTTCCTCGTGGGTTGGGATTCGCGTTGCTCCAAAATAAGAGTGTCTTCGGTATCGGCTCACACTGCTTTGGCGAACAAGAACCTCCGGATTTTGCTTTGTAAAGGATATCGAAGGACCGAAGGCAAAACAAGAAAAAACCCACCTTTTTACTTCTCTAGGGATCGGAGCTCCGAAATTCGAGAATCTGTTTTCGCTGCTTTCGGTCTTCTATGCAACCCCAGGCCCAAGCAGACCCTGAAAACAGGCTATTCGTTCTCGAGCGATCGCGAGACCTTCGGACAGTCCCGGAAAGAATATCGGTACTCATTCGGATTCAGCACTCGAGAGACTTGTGCTCCTTCTTTCTGCCTTCCCAAGCAGTAAATATCGGAACTCGAGCGAAATCTCAACAGTCGATCGTCTTATAAGAAGGGTCACGTTGAAGTTTCACGTGGAATGAGAGGAATCGTTGGTCTAGAGCAGTGGTATTCAAAGTGCGGCCCACTTCATGGTTTTATGCTGCCCACGATGACTTACTAATGATTGACCTTTTCACACTTTACAGTTTTATCGGCAATGATGAATAATAGCGATTAACAATTTTTTCATTCATTTTCAGATTTTGAATCCTTCGCTGAAAACTAACAAATTTAGTCGTTGCTTAGATATTTAGGTACGCATACCTGTTTACATTTAGCTGCATATGTATTTTGGTGCGCACCTACTAAATGCCTTACATTCGGAACCTCCATACACTGCAGAGAAAAAATGTATTACAAAAAAGGCTAAACGAAAAAGTATTTATCGATAATACAACTTGTAACAAAGCAGCACCTAGAATCGATGCGTTTACATGAGCCCCGACTCCAAGTAGTCGCAGTTTTCGTGAAGAGAGTTGGAAGTGTGAGTGGATGTGGTAGGAGTAAGCAGTTTTCGATTGCTGTTAATTTTTTTTAAATGGGACTTCCCGGTTTAGAGTAGCTTGACAACGAGATCAATGGCCAGATAAAGGGTTAACCATGCAGAAATGTTGGATCTTTTTTCAATGCGGCCCACTCCAGGTTGACTAACGTTACTAGTGCGGCCCACTGAAAGTGGACCAAAGTGTCCATGCGGCCCTCGCCTCAAAAAGTTTTGGGACCATTGGTCTAGAGGCCACCACGCTCCACGTGATCAGACCTCATACGTCAAACGTCTCTCGTGAGGACATATGGAATATTTTCTTTTGTTTACCTCTCGATGAGGAAATCGATGGCATCGAGGGCGTCCTTCTCCACGGCATCATGCAAAGGGGTATTCTTAAGGACGTCCTGGGCATTCAGATCCCCATCGTTGTCCCGGATGAAGGCGAGAATGTGGACGTGATTGCGGGCGGCGGCGGCGTGGGCCGCCGTCCTCCCCTTGCTGTCTCTGACTCCGAGCCTCTTCGGGTCTTCCGTGTAGAGGCGCTGGAATTCCTTCAAGTTTCCCACTTCTCCCATCTGGTAGTCATTAAAATGTGGGTAAATCTGCGGGCCTTGGGATCATCGAGTCGGAGGGAGTTTAAAATTTAAGGGATGACGGCAGTGTTAATGAGGGTCTAATGATTGGGAGGAAGAGGATCGAGGGCACCACGGCATCACCAGTCAGTAATATTCATCTCAAATTTACGAAGAAAAATCGCTGCCGCGAAACTTCAAAAACAATCTTTTTTTTCTTCCTTTTTTTCGTGCTGCATATATACAGGGTATGACAAAATAAAAGACTAACGACTTTTAACCTAAATATCTCTGAGGTTGGAGCCATTTTCGCGAAACTTTCACTCTGCATTTACGAGTATGTCTCCAACTGATTCTCAAATCTCCATCGGGATTCGTCGGACTGAAGCGATACTATCAGCAATTGCCGAAAAGAAGTCAGACATTGAGAGTCCTGGTCAAGACCACGTCGGACTTCTCTTCCATTTAAACTCATTCTTTGGGCTGGTCGTCATTTGATTGCTCGATTCATATCTCGACAATTTTGCTGCGGATGGCTTCATTTATTTGGAAGCCAGCAAGGCTGCCAAAATCCATTACTTCAAATCGAAGGTATAAATAATATTCTATGATAAATCTAACATTTTAAGTGGACAGTTCCCTCAGAAAACCGAGGGAAATTTTAAATAACTCTGAGAAAACTCTCTGGATTGATACTCATAATTCATTCATCTGCTATTCATTTGGAATAAACTCATGAAAACCATCTGCAAGCCCAAAGAATGAATTTAAACTTGTCCATTCTCGATGTTTAACTTCTTTTCAGTAATTCTTGAGAGTATCGCTTCGGCTCAACAAATTCCGATGAAATTTTGAGAATCATAATTGGAAACATGGAGGGTCGGACTGGTGGCCCACACAGCAAAGTAGAAACGTACAAGGAGAGGTACAAATGCGAGAGGTCCTCTTGCGTGGTCCAGACGTGCACATGTGTACGTTGCAGACGTGCACATGTGTACGTTGCAGACGCAGGTGTCCGGATTCTCAATGCAATACTCAAAATCGGCATAAGATGGCGGTTATGTTCCCCCAAACTTTCGAAGTCGAGTCGGGACGCGCCGGACCTTAGGAGAAGAGTTTTCTTCGTTTCCCTGTATTCATCTTATCATGATACTTGTAAAGCAGTATTTGGTAAAAGAATAGTTATCATGTTTCAATGGCAATCAATGATTCTGGAAAATTTTAAACGCTGGGGTTTTGTACGGGAACAGAGAAGTATGAACCAACGGGTTACGAGTTTTTTTTTTCTCCTTGATGAATTAGCGGTCAACTTTAAATAAACTTAAAGGACTGTCCTGACAAGGACTGACACTGTAGAACAGGGTGGTCTTGTTACCTAATGGCCCCATGAATAACTGGAAAAGACACTGTTCATGAGACAGTCGGCACGTCCAGCGCGAAATAGAGACTCTGTCCGCGTGTTATCAGTGACAGTTCGCTGCCTGTCAGAGACGGGGTGCCGGATGATGGTGCCATTAAAGCTCTCTTTAAAGCTGATAATTGAGGTTCATGAACAGGATTTTAAACGCCCCAAAGCCCGAAATGAATAGATATAAGAAAGGTACACATGTGTACCTTCATTGCCACGGGTACCTTTTCAACGAACGTATTTTACGACATGCGTTTGTACCTCATAACGTACAACATATGTACCTCACTGCACGTTTCTGCTTTGCTGTGCGGGAGCTACACCCCCCTCCCCCCCTCAGAAAATATTCTAGAATATATGAGAGCCCATAGAACAAGGTGAATTTTATCACTGCACCGTAGTTATCAATCATTTTATAGCTTTGCACGATTTGGCAGTGCTCATGGAATAAATATCAGTATATGGTCATTAGTTGCAATTAATGTTCAGTATAATTCCCTTTATACTTTTTTTAAAAATCAGGTTTGGGGCCCCTTGGGAAATTTCCCGGTATCACGGTGGGCCAGTCCGACCCTGAAAACATGTCCATATACGCATAATAAACGTTTCGCGAAAATAGCTCCAGAGGGAGCTGAGATATTAAGGTTAAAAGTCATTCGTCTTTTCTTGCCATATCCGTTCTATCAATTTTAACTCTATGAAGGCCATAATTCACTTTTACACGTGGAACAAGATGGAACACGTACAGACCGGACTCCCAAATCACCTCTGGCTCTTTTTTTTTTCTTTTTTTCAAAGAGCCTTTCTGAAAGGCGCGATCCAGTCATGAGGCAATTGACCTCATTCCGAAAAAAAAAAAAACCTTTTTTCCATGGATATCTTTTTTTCATTTAGTTTTACGAGGGTGTTCCACGTGGCACAAAATCCAATTTGTGACGCGTGAAAGACCTTCACTCTGACTGACCGAAGAAAAAAGGGACTCTGATGATTTTCTGAAGGGACTCACTTTGATGATTCTAAAGGGACTCTCTTGCATAAGACAAATCTCTCCTTGGATTTGAAGGTCAGAAGTCGCGAGATCTTTCCCGATCGGAATCACCACTTCGGAATCCAGACGTTCGTCGAGTACTTTCTCGGTCAAAACGTATTTCTGGGCCGCTTTCTGCATGCAAACGTTCGCAAGCACGTTTAATTTTTTTTTTCTCCTTATTTCTTTTTGCTTTCAGACGAGAGTGATAGGGCGGGGGCTCACCCGCCAAGGGTGAGAAATCCGGCGATGGCATGCATCCACGGAGAGAGATTGCTCGGACCCGAACATCCTGTAGATGAAATTGCTCCAAGTCGGCAGAGGCATCCCCCCTCTGCCTGAAGGCTGGGACGAAGCACGAAAGGAGGCACGTTCAAGGCGAGGATCGCTCGAGACGAGGATTTAGACGCTTCAGATCTGCTTAACAAGCGGTGCGGCGCGCTGCACAATTTTAGCAGGAAAGGTGGGGAGGAAAGGGAACTCACGAGAGCGGCTTCCCCCGAAAAGAAAGCCCACAGAAACGCGAAGGAAAGTGCGAGAGCAGCTGAATCCGGCGAAGACCGCGCGACAGAGCCGTCGACACCCGTACGAATGAATGGGAAACCTCGCAAAAAAAAAGCCAGAATGAGAAATACTAATACCTTCCCGGTGGCATCGATCATCTGGAGAGCAGACATTCGCCTAATTGTCCCACCGCAATCATCGAGTTACGCCCTCCGGACCCTCAATCTAGTTAATTAGCGAGGATATAAGGTTTCCATGACGAGAAGGAGCCCGTCACGTGTCACGACCTCATGCCGTTCGTCGCTCTCGAGGCGTTTCATCATCTCTCACGGGCGAATGAGCGAGGATCACGTTGCATTCGCGAGGCCCGATATCGAAGATGAAGAGTGCTAATCATGCTCTCTATCTCCTCTATCTCCTTGCGCTGATTACCTTCGCATTCTCTGCCAGTGAATAGCGCCCGAAAACTTGATCACAGATGAGGAGATAATACCTTACTTTTCTACGAATTCGAGCGGTGCATTATATAATAGAAAATTTTGACGGTATTTCGATAAAATGACTTCGTAATGACTGCAGAGCGAGATTTCCGATGGAATTTCGGAACGGAGGCGCTCGACGAAAAGCCGCACCGTTTCTCCTTTCGGAAGAAGCTCGGACGAAATAGGACATCGAAAAATTGCAATCGGCTGAGGAAATGGCCGAAATCCTCCCCCCGGGGGGGGGGGGGGGGGCTTCCTTCCCGACCGAGACGGAAAAAGTGTCGCGAATCCGTTGCAAATTCTTCTTCCCCCCCCCCCCCCGGCGACTCGAGGCTTCTCGAATGCCCTCGGAATCCGACGATCGGATTTCCGATCCGTGTCTCAGCTTCTGCAGCAGTCGATGGGAGAGAAAGTACGTTTCCGTCCTCTTTTCGTCTCGAAAAACGAAAGTCCATATGGGCAGGATGCCCGGGGAAGCTCACGGGCAGGTTATTGCATCCTTGCATCACGAAGAATGCAAACTTCTTTCGCCTCGGGAGTGATGCAAGGCCCCCTCGCATGTCCAGTTTATGCAAAGATGCTCGTGCATCTATTTGCCGGTCACGATTTCCTCAAAACGGTCAAAAATGATGCCCGAGTTTTCACCGCGACGGATCCGAATCGAACGGCTCGAAATTCCATTCGAGCCGACAGAGCGATCAGAATTAATTGCGAAATGGAATCCATCCACAATATATAGGAATTTTTTTTATTTAATTGTATTATTATTATTTTTTTACACGTTTATTAGAATCGATTTCTCTTGCGATCGGACCCGCTCGAAAGAGGAACTCACCCGCAGCCTTGAATGGAGTCCCACGCTCCGAAAGGCCCCTCGTCTGCCAAACTTGGGAATATCACTCTTTCTTTATGTGCGGAAGGGGGTCAAAGGTCGGATGATAACTCGAGATTCATGGTTTGCGTTCGGAGAACTATTACGGCCCGGTGTCACACTCTTGCGTGATGCAATGCATCTCCGCCAATCCTCGTCCTCTGGCCCTTCCCAGGAGAAGAGTTTGCGCGGAGTATCCCTTTCCCTCTTCCACATTTTTCTTCGCAATTTCTTGCCCCTCTCGACGACGTCCTCAACTACGCATTGCGACATTTTTCGTGCCTGGACTGGAATGGCAGAGACTCTTTTTTTTTTTTTTCTCCCCGCAGACAACTTCGGCGACGACTCCGGGCAACGCGTTATCATCGAAGAGGAACATGCATTACTGCAAGAGGCAATTCCCGCAATAAGTGGCAATCTTAAAACAATGAGTCACCCCCGAGGAATTTGAATAAATGTTCGGTTTCTTGCGTATTCACCCCGTTCGCGGCGGACGTCGGACAGTCTCCGGGCAGAGGGCCATATCGTAATAACAGGTATTAGAACGCTGTTTCTCAACTAAGAGACTGACCTTTGGAATGCCGAAATGAACATGGACCCGGCCCTTGAAGATGCATCCAACTCAATTATTCCATAATTTATGCGAGGTGATGCAATAAGGTTAGAAGTTCACCCGCCCCCCACGGCATAGGTTTGTTTTCCGAATCTTTGCTGGGGCGGAGGCTTGAGAACGAGAAGACCTTTAAAAAAAAAATTCTCTTTCACTTCCCACGGCGTGCGTCCTCTTTCGCCCCCCCTCCCCCCCATCCCCCCCCCCCTCCCCAGACATGCAAATAGAGGGGCCCACTTCCCACGGCGTGCGTCCTCTTTCGCCCCCCCCCCCCCCCCCTCCCCAGACATGCAAATAGAGGGGCCCCAGCCTCGGGATGCTTCGTTTCCCCTTCGAATGAATTTTCATGGAAAAACTTTCTTCCGAGACGAGATGGACCCCGACGGAATCGCGGCACGAAGGGACGTCGGTCGTTTGGCTTAATTAACTTAATGGGCTGAATTGGGAAATGATGAGCTTGGCTTCTTCGACGAATGCGGTTGAAAAGAAAATGACGCACCACAAAATCATGAATCCGTCTCTTTCTTCGCCGCCGCATCGTCTCTCGTGGAAGCAAGCAAGGTCCAGCTGCGGGAAGAGACGAGGCGGAAGTGAACGGGATCCCCGAAATTACCTCGTATATCTCTCTCCCGCCCCTCTCTTCCCTTTTCGAGGAAAAGGGGAAAAAGAAAGGGAGAGTGAAAACTTGACCCGGGGCGACCTCCGGCATTCTACTCTCTCACGCTGCTGCGACTAACGGGATGCTTGAGAGCAGCGGCGGACACGGAAATTTGTCGTGGGGGGGGGGGGGGGGGGGGGGGGGGGGGGGGGGGGGGGGGGGGGGGGGGGGGGGGGGGGGGGCGGTTCCCTGGTTCCAACCCTCCGTTTACCACCCTCTTCGTCTTATCGCTTGTTTCTTTTCTTTTTTTTTTTTGACCGGGGTTAAAACCTGGATCCATTTTCCGGAGAATCCGGAGTCTATTGAGTCCTGTATGCACGGAACGCCTCTGATCTCAATTTCGTCTTCTTGGGAGTTACTTTGGCCGCTCGGATCTCGATAACCCGAGTACTTGGTACTTTGGCCCGGTACTTACATGAGCGCAGGTTCACACACTCAGATGCTAATCTCAGCTGAGTCACCGGTCCCCATCATGGTGGGGAGATAACTCAACTGAACTTCATTCACCCATGAAGAGGACCGCATGCTGAGTGGTGATGGGAAGATCGAGAGCTTTGGGCTGAACAAGCGAATCAGTCAAATACTGTCAAGATCAAGAGGATGAAGGCACAGGAGGAAAAAAAAAAGGCAAGGAAAAGGAGAGAGAGAGAGAGAGAAAGGGAAGGAAAACAAAAAGAAGAAAGAGGAAAAATAACAATGGGAAATATTCAAATTGCATGCAATCACTTTCGCAATAGGCCCCGATGGGGATAACAGCAACTCAAGATTCATTCGGAAATCGCATAGGAACGCATTCACGGAAACTCAAGTTAAATAGATCTGATGCACGTGGCTCAGTATTTCCTTTCGACGTTTCAAGGTTGTTGCGAGACGCAGTTTTACTGCGTGTTATTGCAATAAAAAAATGCCATAAATTGGAAGCAATAATATTGTAATGTGAAAAATGCTATATCCTCACGATCTATCGAATTGCAATCAACTGCAAATTGTAAAGGTAAACAAATTAAAATGCGATTTATCTCTCTCGATTTGTATTAATATTTATTGTTATATGCATTCTGAAGGGCATCTAACCCGGAGCCGACCTTCGCGATAGGGGATAGGGGATCGCGATAGGGGATCTGTAACGCGCCGTAGAAACAAGGATGCAGCCACGTGGGCGCATCCATGGACCGTGCCTCACACGCCGCTGGCTCGCTTTCGAACCTCCATTTCCCCTCGCGGAATGCTGGCCGGCTACTAATCGAGCGGTCCCGAAGCGGTCCTTCGTGACGTCACGGTGGATGATGGAGATGGAGCCGAGGATGATGATGTTGATGCGAGGGTGTCAACGGGTGGCTTTCGAAATCCCCCGAGAGGTCGTGGCAGAGCGCTCGAGAGACTCAAAAAAAAAAAAAAAAAACGGGGAGGCCTCAGCAACCGACG